TCTCCCTCTGCAAGGGTGCGGACCCGATTGTGTGGGTCCGCCCCCTTGCAGAGGGAGAGGTCGCTCTCAAGCACAAACCTCACCAGGAAGTGATCTGACCATGACAGGGGAGTCAAACATAAATTCCTCACCCTCAGACCATGCTCTTCCTGCCCCGTCGAGAAAACCAGGTCCAGAGTGTGTCCACGTTCATGGGTTGGGCCGGAGACATGCTGAGACAGCCCCATGGCCATCATGGAGTCCATGGAGTCCTCAGCTGCCCCGGTCAGACCAGTCTCGGCATGGAGATTGAAGTCCCCCAGGACCAGCATCCTGGGGGTCCTCAACACCAGGTCCGAGACGATCTCCGTCAGCTCAGGCAGGGAGACTGTTGGGCAGAAGGGTGCATGGTACACCAACAGAATCCCCAATCTGTTTCGGTCGCCCAACACCAAGTAGAGGCACTCCAGCCCCGGTCTCGAAGGGCCCGGAAGTCCCGTGAGAGAGATGGAGGGTCGGTAAACCAAAGTGACCACCCCTCCCCTCCGGGCGTGTACAGTGCTGAACCAGATACCCGGGCGGGCATATTTGAGAGATGGCGACATCCCCCCCCTCTCCCGCCCAGGTTTCCATTATGCAAGCCAGGTCGGCCCCCTCATCCACAATCAAGTCATGGATGAGGGAAGATTTATTGTTGACCGACCTGGCATTGAGCAGCAGCACCGTAAGGCCCAAGGGGCGGTTGACAAGACTACCTGGAACCCCCTGGCTGGGGGCAAAACCAGAAGGAGGGAAAGGTGTCAACCATCTGTCCCTCCTTCTATGTGGACACGTTAAGCCCCCACCGCTGTTACGTCCATTGCCCATGACCACCCCAATGGCGGCGCCCCCGCGCTCCCCAGGAAACACAAACGTCAACATGACCAGGGACGACTCCATAAAAACAAATTAAAACAGATTAAAATACAATAAAATTATAAAAACAATCAAAAAACTCCCCCTTCCCTCGGCGATGTGCCCCAATCTGGCGACGGTGGCAGCGGCAGTGACTGCGCAGTGCGGCCCAGCAGGTAAACTGAGCCGCGGAATGCAGCCGATGTCCGTGGGGGGAGGGAGCTCCAGGTCCGCCCTGCCCCAGGCCGGGCCTGGCTGGTTAAACCGGCACCCGCCCACGCAACCCACCCCAAACCGGCATCGCTCTCACCAGCACCGGCGGGGGGGGGAGCATGGAGGGGCGTGGAAACCCGTCAGGCGGGAAGATGGCAGCATCCTCCTCTGTGCCGTTGGCGGCGGGTCTAGCGTGGCCCTGGCATCCTCCATGCCCAGGGTGGTCCAGCGATGGCCGCAGGAGTGGCGTCAGTTGGCCCCCGGCTCGGCGGTACGCCCCAGTCTGGTGGCAGCAGCAGCGACAGTGCAGTGCAGCACAGCAGGTGGACCAATTAAAACATGGCCCCTGGCTAGTCCAGCCCCCCACTCGGCCCCCAAACGGCAGTGACGGAGGGCGGCACGGCAGCCGGCGGCCACGGGGGCGTTGCTGCAAAGCGGCGATACGATGGTCCAGGCGGCACGGAAGGAGGTGGGCCCCGTCCGGCGTGCTGGTTCTCCCGGGCTGCCACCGGCACTTTATGGGTCGCAAATTAACCATATTTTAACCATGGTTAGGAAAGCAAGCCAGGTTCATAAACTATCATTTTAAATTTTAATTTTAACAAGCATAGAAAAGCCTAACTATAGATTGTGAAGCTTTGGACTTGGGGCTTAACTGTGGTTATTCTAAGCCAGAAGGTAAAAGTTTCATGGCCTGATCCTAGTCATGATGGAAGAAGAGAGGCTGGCATGCCCAGAACCTGCTGTAATTTTCTTATAACAATAAGCAATAAGCCATTAGATCCAAAAGAGGCCTTGGTCTCACCATGACCCTATCTGTCACCTCAACATTATGCTGATCAAGAAGAGCTTTGGCAGGAATTGTATTCAATAATAGCAACCTGATTTCAAGAGGCTTGTTCTACAAAACTTTGAATTCTTCTATGGGAGCCTGATTATGAAAGAAAATGTAAAATCTATTCAATGCATGGCTATACTTCTGTTCCATGCCTTGACATCTAATTAGTTTGAATTCAGTACAAATATACACATGGTTTCAGATCTGATCACTGTATGTCAGCATTCTCACTGTACTTTTACAGGGCCTAAACATTACAATTCTAAAATCATTCTTCAAAAATAATTAAAATAAAGCATTTCCCATTTCTTTTTGCCCTTGATGTCATAATCTTAAATGTTTAATATTCAGGAAATAGTTATTTTTTTTCTCTTAGGAATGCATATTGACATTTCAGTAATAGGCATGTTGACTAACACTAAAGTATTTTACTTGTTTCTTACTCTTACAGTTGTATGCTTTTGGCGTTTCCAGGCAGTGCATAAAAATTAACAGCAGGAATGCAGAAGATTATCAATTTGTCATGCAGGAGTTTTTCAACAAAGAGTATTTTCTAGAAAGGCATGGACTACAATTGGCTGATGGAGGATATCTTATTCCTAATGATGAAGGAAGGGCAGGAAAAGAAGAATTTTACAGGTATCCTGTTAGCAATTTGCATGCTTAATTAAGAAGTTTGTTATTAAATGTAACACTTAGGAACATATTTATAAGTACTTGAAAAGTGCTATCATCTCTCTCTCTAGTCTTCTCATGGATAAACATACCCAATTCTTTCAGTCTCTCCTCATAGAGCTTTGTTTCTAGTTCTCTGATCATCTTTGTTGCCTTCTGTTGATCCTTTTGCAGTTTGTCTGCATCTTTCTTAAACTTCAGTGCCCAGAACTGGACATGCTAATCTAGAGGAGGCCTGACCAGTGCTGAGTAGAGGGGATTTAAAAGTGCTACTTGCATTAATGCAGCCCAAAATAGCATTTACTTGTTTTGCATCCACACCACATAGTTGACTCGGAATTGTTGTAGACCACAAGCTGAATACAAGATCCTTCTTACTTGTAGGATTGTTGAGCCAAGTGCCCCCCCCCCATTGTAACTATGCATTTGTTGTTTTTTACTAGGTGCAGAACCTGATATTTGTCCCTATTAAATTTCATTTTGTTATTTTCAATCCAGCACTACAACCTATCAAAACCACTATGAATTTGATTTCTGTCTTCCAGGGTATTAGCTATCTCATCCAACTATGTATTTCCATTACAGATAACTAAATTAGATAGACTTGTGTTAAAGCTATAAAAACCTAATTCTATGTGCTTTAGAAAATTTAGCTTTAATTCCCTTCAAATGCTTCTTTATATATCTACTTGATTTGGAAACTCTGTATTTAATAAATAGCTGATAATGATAAATGTTTGTACAGCCAGTTACTCTTTACTCCTACAAGTTAACTGTTAACAAGATTAGTTAGTGGTGTGCATTTGTGTTCCTGCTAGGGAGTCTTTAAAAATTATTTGCTACTATGTGCATAACTAGTTTCTGATTGCAATCTACATAGAAGGCCATCGTTTAGCCAGTGTTTAGTACCTTAAGTCCAGTTTATTTTAGTGAAGGAGAGTTAAACATTTGCTCTTTCACTGAACTGAAGGAAATTAAATGTATTTTAACTGGGGCAGCATTGATGTAGCTGTAAGTTTGCCTAACAATGGCTTGGAGCTAACTATGATTAGAAAAAAAATTGAGGTAAATATTCATAACCAGAGTTACATTCATAAACACAGGGGAAACATCTGAAGATTAACACAGGAAGCATTCCTTAACTCCTAAGCATGGCTAAGAGGACAAGAATGCCATATTATTTATGGATCAAGCCTCTGGGGATAGTTTTTTAGTAAGTCTTCTCAAACAGGTGTTTAAAGGTTGAGTTGTTAATAGTATTTGTCATTTTGAGTCTTTTCTATGTTGGTCAATGAAAAGGTTATTTTCTAATAATTCGATAAATATTCTGCTAATTTTGCCCAGGGCTTTGTGTGACACTCCTGGTGTAGATCCAAAGCTTATTTCAAAAGCATGGGTGTACAACCATTATAAATGGATCATATGGAAACTGGCAGCAACGGAAGTTGCATTTCCACAAGAATTTGCCAATAGATGTTTGACACCGGAAAGTGTACTACTTCAGCTAAAGTACAGGTATAGTACACAGCTTGGAATGTGATTCTTCTACATTACATCTATGATTCTTGACATTCATAGTTTTAAATTTTAATTATATCTGCAATTATATATCTACTATCACAGAGAAATGTAGTTTGGTCTTTAAAAGTTACCACTGAGATTTTAGCAGAAAACTGCCTCTTAAGAATGTTTTTCTCTCATCTAATTTGAAGGAATTGTACTTTTTATTTTGAAAGGTATGATGTGGAGATTGACAAAAGTCATCGATCAGCTATCAAAAGGATAATGGAGAGAGATGATATTGCTGCTAAAACAATCATACTATGCATCTCTAAAATCATATCATTAAGTTCAAATATGTCTGAAATCTCTGGTAATAAAAGCACTGCAGAGGAAAGCAAAAAAGAATTTGCAGTGGTTGAAGTTACAGATGGCTGGTATGGAATCAGAGCTATTTTTGACCCTCCTCTTCAATTGCTGCTGTATAGACAGAGGCTGACTGTAGGCCAGAAGATCATTGTACATGGAGCAGAACTTGTCGGTTCTGAGAATGCAACAACTCCTTTGGAAGCACCAGAATCTCTTATGCTAAAGGTAAAATAAAACAACTTTTTCAAGTTGTTTCTCGCTCTCTCCCCCCCCCGTTCCCCCCCTCCCTTTCTTAAGAGATGGTGACGTAGAGAGGAAAAAATATTCTCCATAGGTTCTAATTCCCTACCTCTTCCTTCTTGTATTAGCATTCCAAAGTGTAAGTTTATGGTCTGGGGTCTTTTATTAAAATTTTTATACAGCACAAATTTCTGTTGTCTTATGATAGATCCCCTAATGAGCTTCCCCAAATCCAAACCACATTTGAAAATGTGTTGTAGGCTATCTGTTTCACATAATAAATTGTAAAGTTCAGCCCCATTTGCTTGCAGAGTTTAACCAAAACTAATATGTGGACCTACAAGTGTGGTAAATGCCTGTGCCTTTGCATATGTACGAATCTACAGAACCACTGGACCACTTTGTAGCAACTATGTCTACAGAAGTTTAATAATGTTGTTTTAGATTTCAGCTAACAGTACTCGGCGTGCTCGATGGTATGCCAAATTAGGATATTATCATGATCCCCGGGCATTCTCTTTGCCTTTGTCATCACTCTTTAGCGATGGTGGGACTGTTGGTTGCACTGATGTCATTGTTCAAAGAATTTATCCCACACAGGTAAAGTACTTTGATATGTGATTAGAGTCATTATAACTAATTTGCTTGTGACATAAACTAAAACCAAGAAGGTAGCTACTAATTTTCAATTAATATTTATTGCAGTGGATGGAAAAAACATCAACAGGATCTTACATATTTCGTAACGACCGAGCTGAAGAAAGAGAAGCTGCAAAGCATGCTGAAAGCCGCCAAAAAGCCCTAGAAGCATTGCTTGCAAAAATACAAGCTGAATTTGAAAAGAATGAGGGTAAACTATAAGCAGCTTAATTATTTTTAGAATACTGGCTGTAATTTCAGTTATGTTTTGCAGACATGTTTTAATTTATGAAATTGTATTCTGTGGGCTGGTTCTTGAGGTGACCTTTGGCATCTGCAGTTGTAATGTGTGATTAAAAATCAAATTGTTTACAAACATTTGTAGGTGGCAGGGAACATGTTAACAGGCTGAGAATATTGGAAGTCAGTAGGGCAGCTTACTGATAAGGCATAAGGCATATGAGGCAATGTCAAGAGGGAGATGGTTACTTCTGATGGAAGGCACTGGAAGTTACTGTAACTTAATGCCTCTGTTTCTCCAAAATGGATCATATGTTCACATACAAACCAGGTTTCTACATAACAAGTTCAGTGCTGGATTTCCTTCAGGAATGCTCTTATCTACATCCATGAGAGAGTATGAGAGTATTAGTACTGCCCCATGTGGTGCTGTGTTCCACATGAAATTATAATTGAAGATTTAAAATTTGATTTTGAGCAGAATGTGGTAAACAGCATCCTAGTAGAAATAAGTTATAACAGATACATAATACAAAGCAGCTATCTCTAGCTGGATTCCCTATATTCAGGGCTGAGCTTCTTTGGTTTGGGTTGGAGTGGACAAGTTAATTATGAGAGCTGAATGGGTGAGATACCCCTGTCCATCTTCTGCCCCACTGCTGCATCAGCCAGCCTCCTCTCCTAACAAATGGAGGCAGCTTAATGTAAGAGATGTTGGGGCAAAAAATCCTAAATTTCCAAGTATAGGCTGATGGGATCTGAGCTAGCAGTGACTAAGTAAGAAAGGGATCTTGGAGTAGTGGTGGACAGTTCAATGAAAATGTTGGCCCAGTGTACACCTGCTGTGAAAAAGACAAATTCCATGCTAGGCATAATTAGAAATGGAATAGAAAAAAGAACTGCCAAGATCTTACTCCTCTTATACAAATCTCATATATTGTAAGTACACCCATACTTATAATACTGTGTCCAGTTCTGGTCACCTTACCTGAAAGAGGACATTATTGTGTTGGGAAAAGTACAGAGAAAGGCAATAAAAATTATCCTTTTTGAGGAGTGGCTACCACAACTGGGATGGTTTAGCTTAGGAAAAGGCAAGTAAAACATGATAGTCGTGTTTAAAATAATGCATGGTGTGGAACAATGGAGAGGGAAGAATTTTTCTCCTTCTTCCATAACACTCAAACCCTTTGTCATCCCATGAACCAGACTGGTGGGAGGATTAGGACAGATAAAAGGAAATACTTCTGCACATAACATGTAGTTAAACTATGGAATTTGCTACCATGGGAAGTGGTAATGGTCACCAATTTGGATGACCTTAAAAGGAGATTCAACAGAATCATGGAGAAGGAGGCTATCAGTGGCTACTAGCCATGGCCATGTGCCACATCCTTTACCAGAAGTTTTATGCCTGCATACATCAGTTGCTGATGAGCTTGGGCAGGCAGAGGTCTTGCACTCATCCTAGATGATGGATCCCGTGGGCAGCTGGTTTGTCATCATGTGTACAGAGTACTGGACCAGATGGACATTTGATCTGATCCATCATGGCTTTTCTTACGTTCTAAGGTTGGATGCTGTTGCTTCCCCTGAATGAATTTCAGAGATGAAGGGAATTGGCTTTCCTCCTTTCCGGCTAGTTTTCAGCCCTTGCACATAATTGCCATTGTGATAAGCATAGGTGTTAACACATTCTTGATACTGCTATGGACTCACAGTTAGCCCTGAATTTGTTGGGACTGGGAAAGCATTTTGAATAACTGCCTTTGTAAGTTTTTGTGTTTTTTGTAAGAATCATTTTTCTATTCATCATTAACTTTATATCCCACTTTGTCCTTACAACAAACTGAAAGCAACATACATAATTCTTCTGCGCTCAGTCTTATCCCCACAACAACCACCCTGTGACCTGGATCAGGCTGAGAGTTTGTGACTGGCCCTATAAGAGGCCATACAACTATGGACTATGTCAATTTAGGTTCTTATGCCAGATTCTTCCAGATGGAGAAGTGACAGCTGCAGGAGCAACACGAGTTATCAGCAACTGTTGGTATCTACCTTCTGGTGTTGCCTCAGCAGGCAGTCTGATTAATCTATTAAGTGGCAGAGGTATTACTACCACTCTGCAGTTCTGGTGCGCCCACAACTGGAGTATTGTGTTCAGTTTTGGGCCCCTCATTACAGGAAGGATATAGCCAGGTTAGAGTCAGTGCAGGGTAGGGCCACAAGGTTGGTGGCCGGTTTGCAGGGGATGCCGTATGAGGTGAGACTGAAGGAACTGGGTCTCTTCAGCTTGGAGGAGACTCAGAGGGGATCTATTGGCGACATACAGGTATGTCAAAGATGTCACACGGAGATGGGTAGAGACCTGTTCTCTCCTGCAGAGGAAGGTAGGATGCACTCCAACAGAACAAAGCTCAGGGAACCAAGGTTCCATTTAGATGCCAGGAAGCACTTCCTGACAGGACCCCAAGGGTATAGAATGGGCTTCCATGGGAGGTAGTTGAGGCCCCATCGGTGAAGGTGTTCAAAGATAGGCTGGACATGCACACAGGGTCAGACTAGATGGCCTGGGAGACCCCTTCTGGCTCGCTCTGTTTCTCTGTTTCTATTCTGGAAATGTCTGGTCCAAGAAGAAGGTCTTTATTCCTGTGCCTTGCATTTTTAGTGTGAACTACGTATCCAACAAAGTTGTGCCTGTTCTTAAATCTAGTTCCAAGGCATATAAAAATGGATGATTTAAAAATGCTTTTATTTTAATTTGCGGGAGTGTATTCCATTTCTGGAATTGTCAATAGGCTTACCTGGACTAGAGAGTGGTAATTGTTTCTTGGGCATTTTAATTGTATCTAATTTTATACTAATTTAATGCAGTCTTTAGTTCTCAGAAATGTTGTTTTCTGAAGTGGTTCTAAATGTAAGCAATCTTCTTAAAAACAGATGAAGGCAAAAGGGTACTGCGATCCCATGTATTAACAAGACAGCAAATTCATTCCTTACAAGATGGTGCAGAGCTTTATGAAGCGATTCTTAATTCTGCTGATCCTGCTTACATGGAGGTAAGGACAGATTTTATTTCTACTCTTATATCAACATAATGGCATCCCGCACATCTTTAATCATGTCTTTTAGAGGATCTTAAAGATGAATTTAGAACAAGTTGGAGTGAATGTATGCATGTGAAGATGCATGTTAAAAATCAATAAAATCTATATAAATTCCAGTTTCTGAATTAAATGTCGTCTTGCTCATGTATCTTTCTGGAATTTGATCACAAAGTGTAAGTGTGAGAGTAAAATGTAGTGTTTAATAGAATTTGGAAGTTATTTATTTTATTTATTAAAATAGCTTATGTTAACTCAGTTAATTTCTAGTGAGGATTTACAGAATTATTTTCAGGTAAATTGAAGATAGGGTTAATTACAATGTCCTATGAAGCAGTGAAATAAGAACCAGTTCATAGAAGAACTTGTGGATGGAACTTTTGGCAAGTTGCATCCCCACTAGAAATTAAAAATTATTGTGATGCTGCTTTTGTTTCTTTGATTGTTCACATCCATTCATAATAATTCAGTAGTATAATTATTACAATAATTCAGATTTTTTCTGAGCTTTGTACATTTTATAGCACATGCAGTGATAGATAATTCAGTACTTCATTTAGAGTTTTGGGTTCTGGAACTGATACAGAAGAGTTTAAAGCAAAAAAGGCACTTTAAAAAACTAATTTTTTTATGGAACTGGAGCTTATAAAATAGTTTTATTGAAGTGTTGCATATGAAACTGATCAAATACTACCATTGTGATTGCAGAGCTATTTCAGTAAGGAACAATTAAAAGCTTTGAATGATCATAGACAGATGGTAAATGATAAAAAGCAAGCACAAGTAGAAGCAGAATTCAGGAAGGCAGTGGAATCTGCTGAACAGGAGGAACACAGTTCCTGCAGGAGGGATGTATCCTCTGTAATCAAACTTCGAATTGTGGATTACAGAAAAGAAGAAAAAGTAAAAGGTTAGTAAGACTAGAATCCAAATCCTCTTCAAGTAGTACATAAGCACTAGAAAGGCAGGCTAATCTCTTTGCTAAGTTTGTTACTGTTTTAAAGTACTATCTATGTACATTATCATGGTGCTTTGCAAATGGTAGATAAAAAGATCCCTACTCCAATGGGCTTACAAGCTAAAATAGATATGGAGAAATAAAAGAAAAGGGGAGAAGTGAAAAAATTGGTATGCAGGGGAACAGTCTTACTATCTCCTAATTACTGGTTTTAATGTAAGTTCTCCATGGAACTCTGCAACCATGTGCAGCATCCAATATTGCCAGTGGGACCCACCACTAGCAAAGCAGAAAGATTGCACTTTCAAGAACAATTCAGGAAATAAGCTGAAATAGTCATTTCCAGAATCTAAATGGGTAGAAAACCTTGGAGAGGAAATCTCTGCTCGCCTGTCTCATTTAAAATGAAAATTTGGGTCATTTCCAGGATTCTAAGAAGTACAGAGGTACCTTGGCTCACGAACTTAATCTGTTCCAGGACTCTGGTCATGACCCAAATTGGTCGTGAGCCAAGTTAAAGTTCCCCATAAGGTTCAATGTAAATAAGGTTAATCCATCCTGTGACCATTTTTTAAATCAGAAAAATGTGAAGCAAAGTGAACACCAAAGATTGCGGCCATCTCCCCCCCCCCCGAGCACAAGCACGGCCATCTCCCTGCCCCCCAGCATGACTGAGATCGCGCCTGTCATCCCTGCAGGCGCACGTCATCCTGGCGTGCAGGGGGGTGGGGGGGGGAGACGGGCGCAATCACGGGCGCACTGGGGGAGGAAGAGATGGGCGCGATCTTGGCCATCTCCACCCCCAGCGCCCCCTCGGGGGTGGGGAGATGGCTGCAATCGTGCTGGTTGTGGGGGGTAATGGCCAAGATTATGCCCATCTTTCCTGTAGGAGCGTCTGTGATCACGCTCGCCTTCCCTACATGAAAGCAATCGCTGCCACCTCCCCCCCTCCCAAGTGGGGAGATGGCCACGATCACAGTTCTGTTCATGCAGGGAAGACATGCGTAATCACAGGCACACTGCTGCAGGAAAGACTGGCACAGCACAGCACAGCACAGCACAGCCACGGGGCAGATGGCCGAGATTGCGCCTGTCTTTCCTGCAGGACTGCACCTGTGATCACGCACGCCTTCCCTGCATGAAAGCAACTGCGATCATGGCCATCTCCCCACTTGGTGGGGGGGTGGAGATGGCTACAATTTTGGTCGCCACCCAATGCAGAGTTCGTGACCCAAATCAAAATTTTAATGAAATTTTTGTTCGTGACCTAATTTGTTTGTGAACCAAGGTGTTCGTGAGCCGAGGTACCACTGTACTAGCTTCCTAGCCAGCAGTAAGTCCAACTCGCACAACAGTACGTGATACTGCCTTAAATTGTTGGATAGCTCAGACAGAAATTATTCTGTCCTTATATGCTTTCTGAAGGCTGGCCTATGGTGAAGGCTGATAAATTGTTTAATTTACATTTTAGAAGTTATATTGAACATCTGGCGACCATCCTCAGATGTCTCTAACATTCTAAAGGAAGGAAGTCGATATAAGATCTTTCATCTAGGTGCATCTCAGTCCAAAAGCAAGTCTGAGAGTACAAATATACAGCTTACAGCCACCAAGAAAACTCAGTATCTGCAGATGCCAGTAAGTATTCTGAGCTGTAAATGTGAATTGAGCTAAATGATCAAATAACCTTATGATATCCTTGTTCAAAACTGTTAGGTCTCTCAAGAAATCCTATCACAAGTTTACCAACCAAGGGAGTGTCTGAAGTTCAGCAAGATGTTGGGACCCCCTTTCCAACCAGCCGGTTCTGAAGTGGATTTGGTGGGATATATTATTTCCCTTAGGAAAGGTGCAGGTATGTTACAAACAGTGCTCAGCTATATTACCTTTTTAAAAAGATCATGTATAACTTCTCAATCTGAAACTTCCCAATTAGGGTATATAAAAATCAAATATGTTTTACATTTTACTGTAAATAGATTTAAAATAAATAAACTTCACCTGTAATGTCTGCTTTAACGAAGAATCTGGTTCACAGTTACATTTATTACAAGCATTCAAGGTCTATGCTTCTAATTCCAACATGGAGCATGGATTTTTTTTAATATGGTTAGTTAAGGAACCAAAGGAAATCATATAACTCGAGCAGTATAAATGACCCAATAACATATATACTATTATCACTAACATATATACTATTCTGTTATCTTCCTGGACTAACCAGGACTGTTATTTCTTCACACATTCCATAGTACACCAGTCTGGGTTTCTCCAGAGTGATCTTGGGTGATCTTGCACTTCTGTTTTATGTCCTCTTAGATGGATACTGCTCTGCACTCAGTTCTTAAGTCCTGAATTACAGTGTTAATCAGATAAGTGGAACTGGGCTTAAATCTCATAGAAGAACATTGATCAGTCCAATAGCCACTAAGCATTTCTAAAAAGTTCAAGTTACTTAAAAACTTTCAAGTAAGAAATACTGCTAAGTGTTCATGTTGACAGAGGCAGGTATATAGAAATACCCTAATTCTTAATTTCCCTTGGTTCAAAGTGGCTATAATTCTTTAGTGCGAAAGGCACATGGGCATATATGCTCCTAAAGTATAAAGGCCTGATATAGCTGAAAAGGATGCTTCAGTTGTTGAAATAACCAGTTAGTATTGGTGCTTGTTTAGAAAATGCATGGATTACACTAAGAGAAATTTAAATGAAATCATTTTATTTTAATTGCTCCTTTGCTTCTTTAATTGCTCCTATTTTAATCACTCCTTTGTTGTCATAATTTAAATATATGTTTAAGGTAATTATTTAAATTCCCTTATTTGCATTTGTCCTTCCAATTCTTGAACGGTATCTTTAATATGTGATGCCACATAAAATATATTTCATACAATCATTCCTCTGTAATAGGCAGAAACATTTTCCTAATACTATGTCAAATAATTATATAAAAGCAATCAATAATTATATTGTATTTTAAACATAAAGATTTTACTATTGGACATAATGTTTTATCAAATCCTATGATGTCACTGATTTCCCTTTACAATATATCTTCAGTACACATTTGTTCCAACCCCCACTTGCTGGAAATATAATCAAATCAAGCCAAAAAATTCATACACACACATGAATGAGTTCTTCACTGAATTGGTTTGACTTTGTCCTCAGTAGCTAACTGAAGTATTTCCATATATTTTAATAATTCTAATGAATTACTTGCTGTATTTTATTATAGTATAGTTTTACTGTACTAGTATAGTAATTACGACTATTACTAATTGCTTACTATTACTAATTTACTAATGCTGAAAGAAGCAAGGCACCATTGCTTCATCTCCTTTGACTTAACACCCAGGGAATTTTTGGCTCCACTCTAGAAATATATTTGCTTTAAATTTCTGCTTCCAAGTTCCTTTCCTACTTATCTTTATAGTTATGGCTTTAAATCAACAATGTTTAACTAATTAAAACAAATTAATGCAAAGAGATATAATACATTTTCTAAACATATTATACACTGATAAAAAGTACTATCCCAAGCATTATCTAACATTCTCACAAAATATAATTCAAATACCTAGTTAGTATGTTAAATAGATGATAAAATAGACATAGACTATTATATTGTATAGAAACAAACACAAAAAGGGCAATAAGGAGAACAATTTTACAACTTAATTGGATTAACAAAGAAAATATTGGTATCTGTTAATATTAAAATTTTATCTAGTTCTCAAGAAGTCAATAAATGGATACAAGAAAAATAGGCATTTTTGTGTAGGATGTTTTGACTGAAGACTTGAAGATACTAGAAATTTTGTTACATTCCTCATGACTAAGAATTTATTACAATTTCCAGTATTTCACTAGTAATTTGTAAATATTGAAAAACATATAGGAAAAAGTTGTGTATTTTCTGTTTCACTGTAGGATTACTATTAACCTTATATTAAGTGCAAATGTAATGAGACACAAAAATTGAAAGATATAATTACTTTTAATGTTTAATTTTATATGTGTACCACTTCAGAAAAGCTTTTTTCCTTTGGAAAGGTAGCATTGAATGGTGGTGATGATAATAATAGTAATAATACAAGTCAGATCTCTTAATAGTGAAAAGAAACTGTATTGTTAAGTTCTGAAGTCCTCCAGATCTTGCACAAAAACTTGCATTATTCATTTGGACCCTGCCTTTCTACCAGTTAAATGGCACTTAAATCCTTGTTAAATGTTCATGTTACTGAATGTGGGGCAAACTGTTTTCTGATACATGTAAAAGGTACCAGTTTGGGGAAGGCAGGAGATAATTGTTCTGTATATTTGTCTTGCACTTTAAATATTGAGATGGCATATGTATTTTATTATTACACCAGTCCTACCTGGATTTCTCTGCCAAATTCATATTTTGAACAGAATGCATGTATTAATTTGCTGAGGGATTTTTTCCTCCATGGCTTTAAAAAACAAATATTTAAAAATAGGAACAGAAATCCTTAGTAGTATTTCCACGTTTACTCTGGCAATTCTGCCCTGAAGGAATTTACCAACTTTCTAGTTTGTTTCTAACATTTAAGCTGAAATTATTGGTTTTGGCACTTGTATGAATCAGCAATATGAACATTGAACATTAAAGGTTTCTCTAGAAAGAAGAGAGTAATCCAGCTCATTTTTCTCAACTCAACAGAAAGGCTTGAGTTTTCAACTATTGTACCTCTTCCCCTCCTTCCTTAAACCTGCTTTAGTCCAGCATCCCTGTAGAGCACAAAAGAAACAGAATTCTATGCAGCCCAAATTTACTGTGCTGCAAAGTCATGAACTCTTTCTTTCAATATTGCCTCATAGCCAAAGCTATCTGAGCCATTTACAACAGCCCACTTCATCAAGATCTGCTTTGATTGTTACTGGGAGCAATAACAATCACAGACACAGAAATGAAATTTCTAGCAGTAAATTTTGTCTTATGTTTTGTTTTTATTCTGAACTTTGAAAATAGTTAAAGTATAAAAGTTTGAATGTTTTTTTTAAATTAAATGTTCCACAAGTTAAAATCTATGCTTTCTTTCTGGAACAGGTTTCTGTACAATGGTGTATTTGTCAGATAAAAATCATAGCTTAATAGCAGTACAGATCTGTACAGATCTTAAGCAGCTTGCTGTTGAAGACATAATTATCCCTTCTGCACTGATCTCTGCAACCAATCTTCAGTGGCGGTCTGAATTCAGATCAGTCATTCCCACTTTGTTTGCTGGAGACCTTTCTTCATTTTCCTCACATCCAAAGGAAAACCATCTCCAAGGAGTATTTAATGAACTGAAGAATACTATAGAGGTAAAATAATTACTTTTCTAGTGAGATGGGTCAGGGTGTTGTTCTCATCTTTCCAATGGACTCAGACTATGTAAAAATATTTTATTAAAATGCCCACATGTTAAATTAGTAAGCAAGAGCTGTATTAATGAAGATTTCATAAAATATGTAATATTTGAATGTTTTAAAAGAAAAAAACAGGATTTTAAAAAATTTACAACTTATTTTTTCTACTGTAGAATGACAGCAGCTTTCGCAAAGATGCACAATGCAAACTAATGAAGTTGCTTCACACAGATTGCCCACAAATGTTTAACTTGCAAGAATGTGGCTTGGATCCTTTTTCATCTCCTTGGAAAACTAACCAAGGAAATACACAGTCAGTAAGTCCATTAATGGTATAATTCTACACATTATTAGTCAGACGTCACTCCAGAGTTTTTAGAATTTCAACCAAATTACTAACATAATCAGTGTAAATGTTTTCTGAATGGCTATGAAGTTTTTAATAAAAACAAAAACCTCAAGGTTAGTAGTTTTCAGTTCATGTGTGTTTAGAATCACTGAAGAAATGTAAATCTAATGAATTTTTCCCTTCTCTAAAAATTAGATTAAAACTTCTAGAAGTGAATGGAGGCATCAGAGCCCTTTGAAGCTTGGGACACCAAATTCAAATCCAGCTGTTTTTATGAGCTCAGAATTAGAAGAAACTCCCAGGGATTATAAGAAGAGAAAAACAATGGACCTGCTAAGCCAAGTACCTTACCCTCCACCAGTAAAACCAATCTACACATTTATTTCTCCAGCTCTGAAAAAGGCATTTCAGCCACCTCGAAGTTCTTGTACTCAGCATGAAAGATTACTGAAAAGAGCAGAATGTAAGGTTAAAAAACCATTTCTGAAAATATTAAATGAGACTGACTTTTCTCTCAGAAATAATTTTGTTGCTGATGAAGAACTTGCCATGATAAATACACAAACACTCTTAAATAATTTTCCAGAAGAGGTTGATTCTACAGATGAAACTGTGTATGCAGTAACTACTGATTCGCCCAACCATCTTTCACCAAGGAATAATTCTTTCCAATCTGCTAGGAAAAAAAATGTATCACAGGACCATGCTAAGGAAGTGGACACATCTACTAAGGAGCTAAATGATTCATTAGCTTAATGCAGGAAGTTGCAAAAGAAACAAATATAGTATTTAATGCCCCTATAGGTTAATTAGAAATGTTAACATTTAAATGTCCTTTTTACACTTTGAACATTGTAAGTGTCTGTACAGGTTTATTAATCTATTGTACATATTTCACCTCAAAGATTAACAAAAGGAAACATCCTCTATTAATAATCAGCTTAAGAGAAGAATGGCTGTAAATCTTACAAATTCCTGCCATCTTGCAGTTGCATATTTTACACAAGAGTATTCAAGGGTCTGGTACCAGTTCAGCAATACCACTAATTTTTAACAATGTTACTGGATTTTGTATATTATCTCACACATCAGAATATTTATTTTGGAGATTATGCCACTTTTTCCAATGGGTTAATCATTTTACATTCAGAACCATTTTAATGGCTTGAACCAAGAGTGGAAGGAAACTCATGAAAGAGAATTTTCCTATCCTTCTGAACAGTGTAGGGTAGGATATATAGGAAGGTGTTGTGCGAGGGATTGCATTCAGCTAAAATCAGGCAGGCAGTTCCAAAACATTTTAGTATCTATGCCTGTTAGTTGTAAAAAGAAGGAAAAAAGCAGAAAAAAATTCTTCCCTCTCCTAGGAAGACACAAAGTTGCTGTCAGGGTTTGATGGAAATATCAAATGCCCCCCCCATATATTAGTATTTTCAAATGGAGACAACATAGCACTTGATCTGTGATTTGTTCCAGAAGAATTATTTTAAGGACTTTGTTTTTCATCTCAAAATGGAAAATAAATAATCTGAAAAAGATGCCTTGAATTTTTTTCCTTTACTGCAGTAGCCTCTGGTCAAAAAAAGCTACTGGAAAATGAAAGAAAAGGTATCCTTGAAAAATCAGCTTCATGGTCATTAGTCAGTATAATTAGTCAAACATTATACTGACTACAGGAACCAACATAGTCCTGCAGCAACGTATGTTCACTTATAGTTATAACAAGCCAATAAAGGAGACATATGTGTCATAACACTGGACTTCTGAAAGTTGACTATAAGTAAATTGGATTGAAATTGAGGTGTGTGCAGTGGCAAGTCCTTTCCTATTTCATTATAGCCTACCGGAAGTTGTAGCATTCCTGAGGCTCTGTACAGAGTTGGTAGTGGGGGTGTGACTGCCATGGGTACAAAGAGATGGGGAAGCCAAGTTCCATGTATCTGAATTGGGTCCAACCCATACATTTTTGCTGCTGGTCAAATAATCATGAACCATTGTATGATCCTACAACACAGACTTTACTAAACTTACACGCTCAGCTGTCTCTCTTAACTTCATTGTTTTAGGCTCCAACAGAACCCTGCTGATAACGAATTTTGAGCAACTGGAAGTTTCCTTAAAACGTGAAGTTATGCATAGTTAAAACTCTCCAAAGCCCATTGATACAGGTTTTTCCTAAAGTTTATTTCATGCTTTATGATTGTAGCAGTCCAGTGTAAAGGTCAAAAGATTCAGTCAAAACGATTCCCTTTTGCACATTAAGTATAGATAGTTCAAGAAAAAATAGGTTTCAGTTTGTTTTAAATGCTATCATCTATAGAGATGCAAACAGATTTTAAATTATTCAAAAGAAAACCAGCAATTTAAGGTACGTGAACTTGCAGCATTACAGGATAAATAGACAGGTGGAAATGATGTTACTCATAATTATGCTCTATCATTTTCTTTCCTAGTATAAATAGAAACTAGCCTAGAAGAGTTGCAAGGATGTGGACATTATATGGGACTGCACAATTGGCTTGGAGCCCTTCCCCTAATTTCACATTGTAAAATAAGCAGGTGTGCCAATATTTCAGGAAGGAAATCTCTAGTACGGTGTACCATCTTGTAAACAGAACTAAATATCTCAATAATATTGATGGAAATTGGAAGATTGCACTTTTTCAGGCCTGTGTATTAAACTTCCAGCTATCACTGTCACATTATATTAAGATTATAATTGGTGGCACAAGAGTAGTAATTATCTGAGACAGGCAAGCTTCTTGCCAGGAGTTAATTCCAAGCACTCTACAGAACCACTGGTAATATAGATACTCTTCTTGCCATAAGCACTTGACTTCAGGAAATATGTCCTGATGCACAATAGTAGTTGAACTGCTAGATTGCTGTGCATTTTAATGTACAATAATAATACATGATTGTTTTCTACGTATAGACACCTAAGGGACTCCATCTTGTCAAAAACTTCTGCAAATAGAAAGACTTGCATAAATAATGCCATAAAAATGATTAAAAATGGGAGAAAGGCAGTGGAATGTATTCCTCTCCCGCTTGTGAGATCCTATAGGCAGCTGGTTAGCCACAGTCTGAATAGAATGCTGGTCAAGATGGACTTGTGGCATGATCCAGCATGGTGATTCTTATGTTCTAATATGTAACAAAGGAATTCAGTAAGTACAGATCATAATTTGCTCATAGGCCTGCAAGTTGGTTTAAACAAATAACAATATATTTTTTTCACATTCAAAGAGTATATAGAACTTTTAAACCTAAGCTTTGGTCAGTAGAAAAATACAAATGTTTAAAATAATACAATTTCTACAAATACATATTTTAAAAGTTATATGACAATACAATTTACTAAAACACCCTATGGAACTCAGTTCTATTAAAAGACCTTTCATTTGCCAGAGTTGCTGTTAGCACTTCAATTAAGGAATGTTGAATTAGGAATGTTCAATTCAAACTGGAGTAGCCTCCAGCACTGCTGACCCCATAGGATCTATGGAAATGTCAGGCTGGTTCTTCACAATAGAGCACATTATGGAAGGTAATGTCATGTTCATACTGTTCTTTCATTCGTTGTATTTTCTCTCGTGGAACACCATGGCTGTTCCGTCTATATCAATGTAGAATGTAAAAAAAAAAGTGTAAACATATATTTAACATATAAATATATACCCAGCTTTCTCAGCAATATATGCAGTACATTTTTCTATGCATTACTAGCCCCAATTTTCCCTAGGTAGATGCTTATATAGTCCAACAATCATAGAACTAGACAGTCCCAGATGTGGAAAAGAAGATTCTCCATGCCTGCAATCATGTGAATTGCTTCATTCAATACCATGGCAACCCTGTTCAGAAAAGTATCTCTACAAATGAGGATGGTTAGAGCTGGATGTATGAGCTGGATCTAAGGGTGAATAACTTCCTCTGATGGTGAACTCAGGTTGCTGAATGAGAACAGTTCTGCAGTCAAAACCGAAGAGAGAGATCAATATGATGAGAAATCCTAACACTCCAAAAAACTGAACAGGCCAATGAAAACAAAGGCATTATTGGTGGCCACAAAATGATCAGTGTATTGCTGGAATTCTTAACAGGAGAACTGGATAGGGATATTCATTTTCTTGCTGATCCTATTTATATTCTTATAATAAATAATGGAAGCTTTATTATGTGAGCAAGCATTTGGCACATTCATGAAACAAAGGCATACTTTAAGTTTATAATGCTTTTACAGCATGGGATAACAGAGAAATTTTCTTTCTTAAGCTTTAGGGGTTTGGAGCAATATGAAATGCACATGAAAGCGTGCTGAACAACTGATCAATTCAATGAGCCAGTTCAGGTGATCCAAGCTAGTCACCATGCCAGGTACAATCTGCATAATCACAGCTTGATTGCAGTTTATTGTATTGCACAAACCAAAGTATCTTGGCTTGTTGAAGGATTAAAAAGGTTGTTCATTTAAAGTTTATTTAACTCTCCAACAAACCACAAATAAGTAATTTCTGCCCAGCAAGCACCATGACTCACAGCGAGCTAGAATGGTTTGTTTGATCGTCCAAACTAAGACCTTAATAGCAACCTTCAAACATTTCTTGTGTGTTCTTATTTCTAATGCCATTATATTAACTCCTGATGTTTGCTTCAATTGTGTAGGTTAGAACCAGATTTCATGATAATTGGAGTGCACCCACTGAAACACAATTGACTCTATCTGGATCAAATGCTGTAGGTTTAACATGTTCACAGATTAAGGCATTTTGTGATATATTTAAATATTTAATTTAATGAATATTGTCACATCTTTTCAAACAGCATACTACAATGTAATTGATTATTTACTAATTAGCCAAAAATATACCTGGCTAGTTCCCGAACATTGAATTTCCAGTGTGTATCTGGCTCTCGAAATATAACCTCATAGTTGTTTTCAAGTGCCTAGTATGAAAGAATACACAATATGCAATCGTTTTACAACAGAAAATTACCTTTGTGTTCATCGTATTGTGCTATATTTTCCATATTATCACCATAAGCAATACTACCAACAGGAAAATATGTTAACTCATTTAGGGTAACTAGGATTTTTTGGAGCCCCAGCTGCCTCTCCAAGGCTGACTGCTGGATGCCTGTCTGAGCACATAACCGGGCTCAGAAAGGACACAATGGATGGGCAGAGGAGGAAACTGGGGGTCACTTTCCATCAATTCACATCAGCCCCCTAGTCTCCTCTCTGGTACTAAATCCAGGCAGACAAAAACAACAGTCTAGACTAAATACATGAAGTGAAAGAAGGCAGCAGCCGAAACTGCCACTGCTGCATCTTGCTCCATGCTCTGGGTGCACATAAATGTCCAAGTGCCCAGGCTTATATGCCTCTGCCTTGGAACACACTGGGTTCTGGCCTCAGTTGCACTCTAGCCTTCATAATCAAGTCATATCCATTTACTGGCATGAAATTCAATAGCTGGAAAAGAGAGATGTTCCATTACTCACAATTTCTGGAAGCCTAAAATTATTTTTACAGTATATTAAATGGCATAAATCCAGACAATACAGACTGGTTTCCAATTCCAATCCATTGTTGCCAGTTGGCCATCTCTATATTCCCAAAGAATGAGTAAAATTAACATTAATCTCAAACTCTAGTGAAATCATAGTTCAAAGTAATGTGACCACACTATTAATACCATCTAATTGATGAGGCATTATATAAATCTCAAAATGATTTTATGCAGCCTATTGGCTTGCATTAGGGCCCAATTTTGACTTTAAAGAATTCAAAAAAGCTACAATTGTGAAGATAAATTAGAAAAAGTAATAAAGATTTCCCAAACTGCTGTTCAGTTTGAACAAAGATTTTCACTTCTGACAAAGTTGTTATAAATGTTCCTTGTTAAGAAAAGCAGCAAAGCCTGTTAAACAGTAAGCCAACTGGTTACAGGCTTTAGAGATATTAAAATAATCGCCCCATTAATAATACAGCAACTAACAAAACTGTTAAACCAAATGGGTGAAAGGGAATTAGCAGATGAATCTGGCTTTAGAATTAGGCAAGTCCATCAGCAGCTTTTCAATCACTTATGGGGGCAGGCTTCATATCTCATTCTGAGTGACAAGCACTATCTGATCAGGTGCCCATGACAATCATAAAACCAGCTGCAATGAGCAGTGAGTGGCAGGCATCATCTAATCACGTGACTACCAAACTGTAGTAACAAACATTCTAATGAGAACATGCTAATTTCACAAACTGGCAATATAATTGGTTTCTCTATACTCTTTTGTCCAAGACTGAAAGGACAAATAGCCAAAGTCACACAACAGGTTGAGAACCTAATGTAACTTTCAATTTTTGAACAAGCAGATGGTGAGACATAATGTATGAATCGAAAATACATTAATTCTTTGTTGTGGTCTCTTTGCATCACACATATGATACTGTGCAAAGATTGCCTTTTCCATCTGGATCACACTGTAGATGAGGTCTTCATTAGGCTCCATAGCTTGTTGAACCTGGATGCCTAATGATGTGGCCACCTGGAGGACTTGCTAAGAGAGGCAACTGAGGCTTTCCCCTGGGGATCCCAGGCCTTGAGAGGCAATGGCGTTATTTGGAGTGGTAGAGACAGGTTCTGCAGAGTGTGCAGTGTTGGAATCAGAAGCACAGTCCATCGGATCCAATGACTTGGACCCAGATGACGGAGAAGGGGATCTTAGGACACTCTCATATGTGTGAACACACAGATGACCCCTTAAAGAATGACAATTGCAGGTATGAAGCTTGACTATCCGAGCTGCCAGTTTTGAAGTCTCCGTATAATTATCCCTAAAATAGTAGCATATTTTGCTATATACAAAATATATAGGAGTGCAGAATATACAGATATTCATTATAATATATTTACTCAAATTTCATGTAAGAAAGCTGTAATTTTGTGGCCATGTAAAAAGTTAGCATGTTAACCAAGCACACACTATGCAATGCATTCTTAGTCTGTACTGATACATTCCCTTAGAACAGGAATGTAAACCTCTGGCCTATGGTTCTAACCTAGCCCAAAGAGCCTCCCTGAAATGAGGTTGCCCATCAAAGTACTACCACCCAGAGAAATCCCCACTATCTGAGATACAGTGCTACCTTGGCTCACGAACTTAATCTGCTCCACGACTCTGGTTGTGACCCAAATTGGTTGTGACCCAAGGCAAATTTCCCCATAAGATTCAATGTAAATAAGGTTAATCTGTTCTGGCCCCTCCGAATGTGGTTGTGAGCCAATTTTTGGTCACGAGCCAAGTCAATTTCCTCATACGGTTCAATTTAAATAAGGTTAATCTGTTCTCTAACTTTTTTTTTAATCAGAAAAATCTGAAACAAAGTGACAAAGAACAACAAAATAACAAAGTACTGTACAGTACAGTGGAGAACACTAACCTAGGTGGGGGGAAGGTTATTGTTTTGAGGGAGAGTCCCCCTCCATATGGACATTGGGGAGATCTCTTTCAGGGGTTTCCTTTCTTCTGTGTCTCTTAGCTGCAGGGTCAATTTTGGTGAAAAATCTGTCTACAGTCACTTGTTTTTTCCTGCGCTGCATAACCCTCCGGAAATGAGAGACCACATTATTGTTCATCAGATTCAACACTCTGTTCATTACAGTTATGTTGGGCTGGTGCTTCTCAAAGAAATCCTGGCACGGGTGCGCTCCTGCAGGAAAGACAGGCACATTCTCAGCCATCTCCATCCCCACAACCAGCACAATCACGGCCATCTCACCACCCACTTCGTGCAGGGAAGACACGTATGATCATGTGCTGTGCTGTGCTGTGCTGCGTCTGTCTTTCCTGCAGGAGCGTGCCTGTGATCACGCACATCTTCCCTGCACGAACGCAACTGTGATCATGGTCATCTCCCCACTCGAGGGGTGGGGAGATGGCTGCAATCTTGGTCACCACCCAATGCAGAGTTTGTGACCCAAGTCAAAATTTTCATGAAATTTTGTTCACGACCCGATTTGGTCATGAACCAAGGCGTTTGTGAGCCAAGGTACCACTGTAACAGCAAGGATGCAAGCAAGCACTGGGAGACATTTAAAGACCAACCAAGAGGCTTTATGTGGCACATACTTCCACCTGTGGGTCAATTAAAACCATGCAAAGGCAGGGACATGCTCACTATTCAGAATGCTTCCTTTGTCCTTGACAGAGTCTCTGTTCCCTTCCCAACAAAGAGAAGGGCAAAATGGCCAGAGGATGGGAGTATGACTGTCCATGGTCATGTGCACTGACAGCATCTGGCCTCATAGAGACTGGTGGGGAAAATTCTACACACACACAAACCCCATATATTTCTGCAGCCCTAACTTAATAGGAATCAGAATTAGTGTGTCAGCTTTTCAAAAGAGAATAGTGAAATACAAAAAGCAAAAATAGTTGTGCTGTCCATACAAAAACCCCTCCAAAATTTAGCACAAAATATATGCAAGTTTTTGAGATTTTGTCATCAACTAAAATTTGCCTACCTGCCTAATCTCAAAGACTTGCACATTGTTTGGGATCTTTTTGTTGGCATAATAATGGGAATATCTACATGTAATCCAACACGAAGGAAGCCTCAAGTACAGTAGAAAACCAAATGTTCTAGGGCTTGGACAAAATGGATTTCTGCAGAGGAAAGGTAATGCATCTTAGAGACTGTTTTAACTTTTCTTCCTAGATCAATAGCTATAGCTGCTATTGAGTCTGCTGCTCACCTCTTGAGGTCATGGCTAAATATGAAGAATGACAACAGGTCATAATTTTCCCTACCATTATCACATATGGCTTCATTTCCCATGCGTGGATGTTGGTATTATCAATAATAACTGGGGATTTCCCATTCTTCATTGCTTTACGTGCTGTAATATAATAATGTAAAAGTTTTAGAAGACTAGACAATCAGTTGAACCAGTCATCTTGTACTTTATCCAGATCATCTTTTGGGATCAAATGTGAGACAAATACATGGTTGTAAATATAGTGAGCAAGAATTCCTTTGAAGATACAGAGCTGAGTCTTATCACATTTTGTGTGTATTTTCAGTTTCTTATTTTCCATCCATGTTGATATAATACATGGGTTAAAGTTCATTTCATACACAGAAGGGACATTGATCCTGGATAAAAGAATTCAGGATGTCGTATAGCCAAAAAGCTGGGAACGATGTGGATGGCCATGGTGACAGAAATATTGAGAGCTAGAGCCCAAGACATCTGGAAGGCACCAGGATGTGAAAAGCTGTTCTACGTTATGGTGGCCCACTCCATGGAGGGGCCTCGGCTTTGGAATGCCATCCTGATGAAGATATACCTGATACTGACTTTGTTTTCTTTTGGGCAAAAAATTAATCATTTAAATTTTAAAATGCGACATTTTAATCCAGACTGATTTTATATTGATTTCTTTGCTTACTGAATTATTTTTCTTTCTTTTGCCGTTGTTATTTCACTATTATTATGTTGTACTTGTTATTTTATGCACACCACGAAGAAGTAGATTAGAATTTGTTAAAGTAAATGTGTACAGTCGTCAGCATCATAAATAAATAAACAAACAGGGCCTCATATATAAAGTGGCAACAAAAATGCATAAAACATTTGAAAGCAATCTTCACGCAACCTTCTTTCCTTTACATAGAAATCCATGAGGAGACCCACACAATGGCCCATTTTAGCTGTACATTATTTTGGCTTATGAAGTCAAGATACATGCAACACAAGCCTTGTGCTCACACATTCTTTCTGTGCACCACTCCTTTCCTCCTTCCTTCTCAGCTTGCCACAATTAACTCAGGAAGTCTTCAATTATGCATAACTATTATTCTGAACTACAAAACTATGATTACCAGTATCAGAGCAAGCTAACATCATAAACTGTATTTTGGCGTTGGTTTAAGATTCTAGTTCATTCCTCAATCTAATTGGATTTATAGAGAAAATAATAAAATTTGTTTTAAAAAAAAGATTCTAGTTTATTCCTATCCTGGTAATTATGGTTAACTGGTTCAGAAGAGGTCAGAAATGATCATTAAACGAAAACATATTGGGTTAACTGCAGTGTGCCAAGAAGGAACATCTAAGGGCCAGAACAAGCAAGAATCTCATGGAGTGTGAGTACTCTGTGGTATGCAAGGCCAAACTGCTCATTAAGCTGAAATATGTACTCTTGAACCACTCAATGACAATTTGATATGCCTGTAAGTGTCTAAATAAAATTTTCTGGGACAGAGACAGATGCTAGGCTACCAGTTGGTCATTCCTGTTCTATATTTTGTACATAATGGACATTAATCCTAAATTAATTTGCATGATAGGGAAAGGAGATTCTGAGGGCTTCTATTCTTGCCTTTCTAGTAGATACTTCAACGTTTTCAGGAGAGTTAGCAAAATAAATCAAGTTTCGCATGAACATGCCAAAATGTTAAAAAGATATAGGGAAGAAAAAGCATGGGAATGATACAGAGCTAGAAACATGATGGGCAAAAAAGTTGAGATTTGTTGTAGCAATAGGCATGCTTATTTTTAGTATAAAATACCTTAAGGTAAACCTTTGTCCTCTAGGTTTCTAATAAGAGCAGGAATGAAAATTGATTAGAGAACATAAATTGTACAAGTCATTGTCACACCTGGCTTATTTATGTTAGCTTTCATATAAGTACCAAAGAACCATACATCAATTCAAGGATAATGAGCAGTTTCCTTTGTAGGATTAGAATTACTGTTGAGCGCTGTGTTACTTTAATCCTCTATGGAAACTATTTCCATTCAGAGTAGTTCAAACTTATACTGAGGGCCTGAGATGACAGGCAAAGAGTAAATAGAAGCCAAAGTCTAGCATTCAATGTTAGGAAGGTTTGTACTTGCCTCTTCTCTGGTTCCACTGGTGTGCTTCTTCCAGAGCATTAGGATCAAAAATGTAGGTGCCTTCATCTGTGATGAAGAAGTCATCAGTACTAAAAATGAATGCACTGGGAAATTCATGTTTCAGTTGCCTAAAAGACAAAATGAGAGTGAGAGAATAGATAAGAAATGGGTCTTTTTGTTTCCTAACCACCTCATACATTTTGAATGGGGCCCAAATGATCACAGTGCTCTTGAAATTTTCAAATTAACAAAGGCACAAATGGAGGTGGGGTTTTGCTCGCCATAGAAAAGCCAACTCTATTATTTTAAAAGATTGCATGGAATATGAAGTAACACAAGTTGGAGAGAACACTATATACATTTTATATCTCTTTGGATATAGTATTATATCCCCTTATATAATTTTATATTGTATAATTTTATTATATCACCTTTGGAATATATTCCAGAGTTTTATCTGTTGAGTTTCAACTGACCTGACAACCACTGAGTGCTGCATAGATGTAATCAACATAAACGCATCAACTGTAGAGAAAAATGCAACTTCCGGTACCCCATCTGGAATGTTGACCCCTGATCTGTCTTATAGCGGAATCTAATTTTCCCATTGCTCTCACATCAGCCTGCATGTTTGCTTATAATCATGTTAACATGAGGAAAAACTCTAAATAGATGGCAAATTAACAGTTCCCTAATTAGCATAGACAGAGGGTTTTGTGAATATCAGCAGTTTTTGACAAGGTATTATTCATAAAACAGTAAGAATTTGAGTTATTCGGAGTTTGAGCTCAGTGAAATTAAAGATTTTGGAGCCCCATGAAAGCCTTGTTGCTGTTTTTATTGGTTTGCAGACTATGTATCTTATTCACAGGTTGGACTGTCATGTCATGTGAATTTGCTGAATGTTTCTAAAACTAGAAGTCTGTTTTTAATACCAGAACTCCTACTTTTCTTGGTGACATCTTGTGCTAGGGAAAAGTAGATGGGAGTGATCATCTGGTGATCTAACTACTGGAATTCCTTCTTATAAAATCCTTGGGCAAAAAAAAAGGTTTGTCACAATACCATATGCAACACATTATTTAGCCATGCTTATAACTGCAAAGGAAAGAGAAAACTCCAGGGACTCTACATATCATGTGAGCCAAACTACAGAATGCTATTTGAATAGCTGAGATTTCCATTTGCTTCATTCTAGTATAAATGCACACAGCTCTGATTCAAACTGAAACTAGCAAGCTAGGAAAGTATTAAATCTTCTACACTGTTTTTTGCTTGTTTCCCTCCCCTGAAATTAGTGAGAGAAAGATCGCACCAGAGTCAGTTGCTGTCTCAAGGGTAGTTGCAGCTACCCAATACTGCAGAACATTCTCCAGTTCTGCTACCTTCTTGCATTATCTATTTTAATTTTGTTCTAGAAGATAAACTGCACATGTAGGCAAAGCAATAATGCAACTTCTAAAGTTCACACATCACCTCAAAAGTAACCTTGGGGCCCAATAGACAAGACAAAGGCATCAAGTCTTTAAAGTAACTCACAAAACATTTCTGCTACAAGAAATCACTGGATTTTCTTCATAAAAAGCAGTGAAGAATCATGTAACAGTTTCCACATGAAAAGGCCACTGCAAGGGATGGGTAGGGAAAAACCTTCCATAAGCTCATGGGTTAGAGATAATGAACATTTGGGCTCAAAAATTGCCTCTCCCATGTTTGGAGCAAAAGTAAAGTTGCTTCCCCTACGCATTCATCCCAGCCTCTGGGATCATCCAGGGTAGCTTATCTTTTTATTTTCCCAAAATTTTAACAATTAATTGGTTTTATCCTTGTTTTTATCATTATTTATCAGATGCAGTGTGTTGCGTGTTGTTGTTATGGTTTGTTTTGTTCCTTTTTTTGTTCTTTGTAAGCTCTCCAGATACTTTTAGTAATGGGACAGCATATAAAAACTTTAAATAAATACATCTGCACAATACGGCAAAACAATCACCAGTTTTGCTGCTAGACTGCACTGTGTTGCTAAATCATTTCTTATGAGCTATGATGGAAAAAGGAGACTACTTATTTCCAGAGATAGTCAGCAGACAATCTCCAAGCTGCAACATTTCCTAGCACGTATGAAAGTTGCTGGATTGTTAGTTTACCAGCCTGAAAACTAACAATCTACAGAAATATCTTATGGTCTTGCTTATGTGAGGTAACTAGTAAAACAAGATCAATATTGATATAATGCAGTCATGACTCCAAGCACACGCAGTGGAAAAGAGAAAAGCGCAACAGACGTAAAACCAGAAGTTAGCGCAGAAACACCCAAACTTGCGCAGCATCCCTGGAAGCTTTGCTGCCATCCAGTAATCACAATGTTATTCACTGACTGTACCATCAATTTACATTCCAAACAACCCCATGTTTTTACTTAGGACACACTTCCATTCTACACTGAATGCACAACCAAGACAGAAACAGAATGGAATCCTATGTATTTCTCAGAAGTTCCACCGAGTCCAATGGGATTTGCTCATAGATCAGCATATTAGGATGGCAGTCCCCCAGCTCTCACTTCTGCATAACCAAGGATGGCATTACAGCATCTTCCCCAGCCTGGCACCCTCCAGATATTTCAAACTACAACTCACAGGATTCTTACCATCAGCTATATTTCAGTGACTTACGGGAGTTCCATTTATCCATAGCCACAGGACCAGACAGAAGAAAGGCTCATCATTTCTTTGTGTGGTTCCAGGAGTTAAGCCCACAACATGCTCCCAGAAAGTCCCTTTGTTCCCCTCCCGCTCCACTACAATATGATCTGGCCGTATGGCAAGTCTGAAAACACTGGTCAGGGCCACAGCTTAGTGGGTTATCAGTACATGGACCAGTCCCCTCTCTGGGTCTTTTCTGAATTGCTTATGTCCCAATTCCTCCCATTTTGCATCATCTCATCCACTGAGGACCAACTCATGGTCATTAGAAACTCTGCAGGCATTTGTACCTCCCTCCACCCTGAGAACTGTCTTATTATTTTCCTCTACTGCATGCAGCCCAGCTGTTAGGTTTATCAACATCAACAATATCCAGAGATACTGGTCCAGAAAAGACAGCTCTGACTGTGAATTCACTGTTCCCCACATTCTGGTCTGCACGCTCCATAATGGAAAGACCCAATACATGTAGCAACAGGGAAATAATGTACAGGGATCCACATACTTGAAGTTTTTAATTGAACAATGTAGATTTTATTAAACAGACCTGGGGAAACAAGTCCTGCTAGCATCTAACAAGAATGGGGGTTCTAACCTTTCCGTTCCTCCGTTGTGCCTGAGGGAGCTATATGACAGAGACAGGAGCAAGAGATGCAGTTATTCCCAGCACGGCATCTCCACGCTGGGTAATGGCACACCTGGTATGCTTCCATCTGTTTTGCTCTTGAAAAAGCACAGAAGCCTTGCCAGAACAAAAATACAGCAACCTCACAAAAAAAAAGCTTGCTTCTTATTAGCTGCCACTGCCATAGGCATCTCTTTTTGTCCGCATGGCCTCTGCATATGTGGAAAACTACCTGTGAGGAAACAAGAGAAATATTTGGATAGCAGCAAGCAATGGATAGCAGCCTCAACTGAGAGTTCCTGCAGCTCAGTGTGTATTAAAACACTCTTCCTCTATGTGGTAGCTTCTAGTAACCTCCAGATTGGGAATGCTTAGCAAAGGAGTGAGAGAAGCATAGAATATTGCTACTTGATGCTTTTCTGTTTTACACACTTCACCTTAAGCTCTACTTTTGTGGAGATAATATATTTGTGAAAGTAACACTCACCTATATCCACTATAGAGATTTCTAGTGGAGTGCTATGAGCAGTTTGTTTGTTGGTGACTGGTCCCCTCCTGCAGCTTTGGACTACATCTTCCATTAGACCTGACTATTACCCAAGGTGGCTAGTGCTGATGTGAATTATAGTCCAAAGCATATGGATAGCACCAGGTTGCTTACCTCTGCAATGGGTGGAGGTTCCCAGTGCTTGTCAATGTGTTCTGCATTTTCTTGAGTAGCACAAAGACTGAGCTTACACGCATTTGGAAAAAACAAGCACTCACTTTTTAAAAACTGAATACTTCCACCATATATTCTGCACTGGAGACACTGTACATCATTCCACAACAGAGTCCCACAGTGGTTGGGGTAGAAATATTGAGTAGCCATGGGTATGGTTTGTGCAGTTCCGAAAGTTTGTGGTGGGGGGGAGTGTTTAGGTACCATACTCTGAAGCATAGGCTACTGCTTACCTGTCTAAGGTACCTTGTTCTTGTAGCTGCAATTGCAGGGGCCAGGTTAATATTCCTGGTGGGTTTTGAAGTCTGAGCTCTTGAGACAGGATACCTGCAAGAGTTCAGTGAAGACAACTGTTATGTATCTGCCCTTCATACTGTTTTGGCTCCTCCTACAGTTTGTGCAAAGTGATCCATCAGCAAGGCTCCATTTCAGCACTATGAGCAATTTCTGGGTCCTAAAACAAGGATAGCAAATATGCGGTAGGACTGCAACTCCCAAGAGCCCTGGCCAAGACAGCTAATGGGGAGGGATGATTACTTGCAGCCCAATAACTTCTTGGAGGGCCTCATCCCTGTTCTAAAGAGATGGGAGTGTGACTTGTTATACAACTTGTGTGTTCCCTAGTTGGATTATGTTGGATTATGTTGTGTGACATAATTGACTGCAGAGTTAGTCAGGATTTAACTAAGTAATAGAGACAGTTGAGGCACTGGTGGGTGTGGAAGATACATTCATCTTGAGGCTTCCACTGACTTAGGAACATACAAAGCCACATTATAGTCAGAAGACTGCTCCATCTACTCTGTTGACACTAACTGGCAGCAGTTCAGCAGTGTTTCCAGCAAGAATGTTTCTAGCCACTGCTGGAGATGTGGGGGAATCAAACCAGGAATCATTTGTATCCAAAGCAGGTACTCTACCACTAGCCACAACACCTCCCAATAAAAGTGTTTGCAGTTATAGCAAGTGCTTCCAGTTGGAGGGTTCCTAACACTACCAATCAAAATACACAAAATGCACTATTCCATTTTTTTCCTTAACCTATTTCCTGTGGTAAGAAAAAAGACCAAAACAGCAATGGGAAATAACAGGTTGCAAATGAGTGTTAACATTGACTGGACACCCACTGTAAGAATGAGGCAAACCAACTGCAAAATAAGAGCCTCTCTGGATCAATTCCCATGGTGGCTGCCTACTACACTAAAGTAATACTTTTAGTGACTAAAGTAATACTTTTTAAAAATGTACAAATATGCAAATTCCTTGCACTAAAAATGGTTTAAAAAGGAATGACCACCCACTGACAGCTCCTTCGGTGTGCCACTTAAACACTTTGAAGGATCTATCACTTGTTGTCCACTCAAGACACTACGAAAAGCAATGCTAAAGCGGGGCTGGGAAACAGAAAAAAGCTGTGATGAACAAAAACAGCTTGCAACCATGGCAGGGGGCACCAAGTCAAAAATGTTCACTCCACCATGCCACTTGGACGTTAGTTAGGTGGGTGACCCCAGACTAGCCCTGCAGGAGCAGCAAGGAGCTTTTACTGCTTTGCCATTGGCTCACTAGCCTCTTCCCACAACCCATGATCGAGTCAGTCCCTCAGATTGGGGCAACACAACAAGTCCAACAACCCTATAACAAACCATGGATTCTTCTCTGTATATATGGATGCCGTTTTGAGAGACTTTTCAGTGAATTCATTCTCAGGTAAATATAGGGAAAGGGGTAGTATTAAAGGGCTCAATTTTTATCTATAAATTACTGACTTGCAAAGGGGTGCACAGTGTTCTTCTACACTCTGATGTATAGGTTAAGATTTCTTAACTGTATGAGAGCTAGCGTTCAGTGTAGGCCCAGACCAGATCCCCTGAAGGGCTGCTTTTCATACTGCTCTCATTGCCCTGGTGTTATACTTCACAAACTTGCTGCATATTGTGCTTCCTCTATCAGAAAAATGTGTGAAAATAAGACTCCATTCAAAATATCCTGAAGTCTAAAAATGCCAGACTTTGCAAACAAAATTATGCAAGTAGTTAAAAGAGCAAGTAACATTATTTTTATAATCTCTTCTGATCACATTTCTTTCTTATCCTTGGACACATGCCATCCCCAGCTGTAGCATATGGAACACACATTGAAATGAACAGATATTATCACACACAATTTGCTCACTACCTCAAAAGTAAATCTATGTTCTGATGTGTATTGAACTCCCCCATGTAATGTCATCTACAATAACTTCAGTGCTTGGGTACAGTCAATCTATGCAAAAGCGCTGAAAACAGAAGTCTGTGCATGCTGGAGCTTCTATGTATGGAAAGAGAGGGTTAACATTATCTGCTACACGAGAAAGAAAACAAAACAAGGGGTGAGCTCCTGGCCTTCCAGTTATTTTGCCTCTTCACTCCAAAGCAGTATACCCAAAGATAAGAAGGGATGGAAGTTGTAAGCCAAAATATCTGAAGGATCACAAGTTGTCTCTGCCCCTGCAACCTTCTTATGATTAAGTGCTTATGGTGCCATAAACATGGTGTAAGATTTTGTGCAGGCATTCTCCTAAAAGCCAAGTCAATAAGCATAGGGTAAGACATTGCGCAAAACTTGCAAAACCAGAGCTCCTGTGCTTAGGACAATCTATTTGCATGATTTGTTTCCTGGAAGCACAGTTTGAGTCAATAAGCATTTTTTTTAAAGAAAGGAACTGACCCTGCCATACACTCTTGCTGGAAATGAAACTGAAAGCTCTTTAAAAGCAACAGCAGAACAAGGCCCTTTCTTTGAAACAATGAACGGCAGTCATATCACGATTATATTTTAATTCAATTCAATTTACCATTATTGTTATGAAAGGATACCCAACTTGCCAAAATTGCTTCAGGCATTAGTGTCCTATTTCATCTGGCAGAATCTGAGACTTAAAGAAACTGTGTATGCAAACCAAATGTAGTCCAAAACACATTTTTATTTAAACAAATTTCTCCTGAATGACAAGCCACAGTTTTATTGGCATTAACTGGATTTTCAATTGTTTTATTCTGTCTTACTGCTTTTTTAATTGTTCACAGCTCAGCAAGGTATAGCTACACAGCAGTGTATAATCTTGGTCAATAATTAAATTAGTAAATGGCATCCAGGACGGGTACACAAAGGGCACATCTTATCTCCTTCCTGTTTTTGCTGTCTTTCTGAAGAACAGACTGTGCTTACAAAAAGCAGTGGTGCCCCCTCCCCGCCAACTTCCCTGCCACAGTGCTTGGTTGATAGGTGCACTGGTGGGTCTTAAATTGTGCAGCCTTGACTTAAAGAGTAAATAGGTTCTACTAGATTATAGGCTTCTGCTCAGCACACTCAGAGCCCTGAATTAAACATGAGGCAGCAAAAAGAAGAATGCACAGTACATAAAAGTTTTGCTTCCTCAAACTGATCATAGCCAATCTTTCCAGATTGATCCTCATGACGGAATGACAAGTGAGGATGAAATCTAGAGCAATTTTAAAAGCTGAGTGGTTGTGCTTTCGGTGCAATGGTTTTTGCCCTCACTGTAAGTAACCTCGTTATCTTATTAGCCTCTGTTCTGACAGGGCCGAATCAAGGCAACCTGAAGATCCATACAAATACAGTCTTGAAGGCAATCCTTGATGTTCAAACACTGGGATCAGAGTAAAAATACACCATTCCTGGTTCCATTCCATTTAAATGTTATGTTTTATGTTGGCAAGATTACATGTGAAATAGTGAAAGGCTAATTATAAATGAAAGAATAGAAATATTGTTGCTGGCAAAGAAAACAGATTAGCTTCCAGACAGCTCTGTATCTGTACCCCATCCTACCACTCCCCCAATTCTGTTCTTATTTTTTTTAATCTGAGACCTTTTAACCACCTACCCTTAACAGCACCAACTCCTTCCAGCAGTATTCCTGTTCCTTGACAGCTTAAGTGACAAGCAAACATTCAATATGCATCTTTTCAGTATATATGTAATACCAAGAAGTGGAAATATACTAATTTAATGTGCAATTCTACCCATGTTTAGACAGAAAAAAGTGCTGTAACTCCCAGCATTCCCAACCACCTCACACTTTTTTCTGCCTAAATACGCAGAAAAACATGCAAAGGGCTGTGTCCTTAATATCTACCGGTTACAGACATATGGGAGCCCTGCCAGCAAAATAAAGTACATCCCTCCCCTTTCTTCTCGTTCCTTTGCATTAGAAGCAGGACTTCCTTCACGTCAGAACCTATTCTGGATGTCAGGACTTACTCCTAGAAAATGCAAATCAACAGTGGTTCTCTGAACATGTCCAGAGTTCCACTGTCGCACTGCTGAGCAAACAGTTCCTACATTATTCCCTATGGAGGTAAAACGTCCAGGTTATCAAAGTACGATTCCTCAGGGTCTTCAAGCCCCATCACCTATAGAAAGATTCGGTACCGAAGAAGTGCTCCTACAAAATAGGTCACGGCTACCTTACGTGAGTGGAGAAACATGTTTACCTGGCCAGGGTACTTTTCCCGGAACCGGGCAGGCCTCGGAGCAAGTAGAGGCTTTTGCTGAAACGGCGCCTGCGAGGAGGGCGCCTGTCTTGGGCACGACGCTGCTGGAGGCTCAGGCCTCCGAAAGCGCGGACCAGACTGTCCTCCATAGCAGAACGACTGCAGCCGCCGCTGCAGAAGCGCCGCTGAGCCACAGAGCATCTACTCTGCTCTCGCCTCGTGACTGGGACGGGCGGGGCCGGCTTCCCCCGCCCCCGCCCCAAGAGGGCGGCAGTCTCCAGGTACGGAATACACGAAGTCCGGCTCCCCCGCCCCGACGGCCGAGGTGGCAGAAGCAGCCCGTTGACGAAGCTTGCCCAGCCTCCTGCTGCCTTTGCGTAGAGGAAGCTGCTACCCGAGCGCAACCGGGAAGGGCGGGGCCTGGCGGGAGCTCTCTGGGTTCCACCGCGGCGGATAGGGCGCCGCGAGGACGGAGATATTTGCCGGGCACCGCGGGAAGGCCCTTCCTCTGCGCTCTTTTAAGCGAGGCGGCTGCAAGGGCCTCCGCGGAGCAGGGCCCCGCGCCATTCTGTGGTGTTTTCGTTTTACCTCTTTTCTGTACCGGTTTCTGGACAGTTCGCACTGTGTCACAAAAAGGAGATCACAATATAGTGAAAGCAGCATAAACTATAAATATACAAAAAATAAAAACATTCAATTGCTTTAAGAAAACCAATGTTCTATTTTTAAGCCCTCTGTAGGTCTTTAAGGACCTTGGAGAAGAGGGCAATTTCAATTTGAAGAGGAGCAAGTAGCAAAAGTTGGGGCCAGGTGGGTCTCAATGGGGGAGCAAGGGCTGCTCAGAAGCAGTGTCTGCATGGTAATAGATTGGATGAGGGCCAACAACAGTCTCAATCCAGACAAGACAGAGGTGCTGTCAGTAGGTGGTTCAGCTGGCCAGTTGGGTGATATTCAACCTATTCTGTATGGGGTTACCCCACTCCCCAAAAGGCAAGGTTCAGCTTGGTGCTCCTGGACTCTTGAGTTGTCACTTGAGGCACAACAGATGTGGTGGCATGGTGCATCTTTTATCAGCATAAGCTGATCTACTAACTAGAACCCTATCTGGACAGAGAAAGCCTAGCTACAGTTATCCATACTCTGGTAACCTCTTTTTTGTATTTGCAAATATTGTGACCTTCAGGGAAGATTGAATTGCCTTGAACCCCAGCATTTTTATTGGTGAGATCACCCAGGCCCCCTGCAGTTTTCTTAGGACAGCATGCTATCAGGTAGAGGTCCTCACAGTCAACTACAAGCTTTTAGAACATACACAGAGTGCTTAATAGGTTCTGACTCACATGTACAAGCAAAGCAGGTAATGATGAAATAAGGGGAACACAGTGAAAAAGATCTGCAGAGTAGACTTAATACAATAGAGTTGATTACAAGTGATTAACATAAAAATTACTGAGGCACAGGGATTATTGTGGGTCTTGGCATGCAAATGAGGGTGATTGCAATACTGCTAGAAAAACCTGTCTGGCTGCTTTATTATTATTATTATTATTATTATTATTATTATTATTATTATTATTATTATAACATTTCTATTTTTTTATCAGCTTTGTTTGCTGTTAGCCCAAGAATTTGTTGTTGTTGTTGCATGGAAAACATTCCTTCAGGCCTTCCTGTCCTCCACCATCCCCCGGAGTCCACTCAAGCTCACACCCACTGCTTCAGTGACTCCATCTAGCCACCTCATTCTCTGCCATCCCCTTCTGTCAATAGGGGTTAACTTTTCTTGGGAGCCCCATTCTGCAAAGGCTTTTCCAACCAAAGGTAGTAGCCATCCCTTAAGGGGACAGCTTTGAAAATAACACTAAACAGAAACCTTCCTTGGAATTCTGGTACTTTATTATTTATTAAAAGCTTTTCTAACCCATTCACTACAATGTCTTGGGACAGCTTACAATAAATAACTTTCTGAGGAAGAAGCACAGAAATGTTGCAGGTTTGATTTTATAAAACAAAGGCACATATAAGTAACCTTTTTCTACCAGGATTTATCTGAATTTTCTGAACATTCACAAGAACATGTTATACTGGCCCTCTTCCAACTGCACTGATTCCCGGTTGAACTCTGGACCTGATTCAAAGTGCTGGTACTTACATTCCAAGTCTTAAACAACTTGGGGCCAGATTATATGAAGGACTACCTCATTCCATATGTACCGACAAGACCCTGAGGTCATCTTTGGGGGTCCTTCTCTGGAAGTTCCTTCCAAAGGAAGGGAGATGAGTGGTGTTGGGAAAATTTGGATAAATCCTGTCAGAAAAAACATTGCTTCTGTGTGCTTTTGCATTATGGAATCAATCCTGTACTCCTTCTCAAACCAAGCTAAGTCACTGTTTAAAATGGCATTCCTCCCCTGCTCCTTTCTCTCACCTTTAGCTGTAAGCTACAGTAGACAGGCCATTTAGTCCAAATATACATTGTATACCTTCACAATTATTAAATAATCCTCGTTGGAATTCACAGTTTACCAGGAAGTATCTTTTGCTAGCCCAGAGGGCTTCATGTGCCCTGGCCATTCAGAATGGTGTGGATGCATTACTTAGGGTCTGAGTCTGGATGAGCTTATGAGTTCATGAATAGTTTCTCAGTAGCTTGAATTTACATGTCTAAGCAGACCTGGAGATGGGTTCAAGTTACTCAACTAAAGTGTCAATACACTGCAGTTAGAAATATTGTAATCTCATTGTCACTGTATGATTGGCTGATCTTCCTTTATCTGTTCTGTATGTGATGACCTCAGAATCTTATTGTAATGTCTGCATGCTGTCATCAATTGCTCTGTACCTGTGTACGTGACCAGGAGGGTATAAAATACCCTGTAGTTGTATTGAAACGTTGCAGTGAGTTTACCTCTGCCTGCCCTGTAATGCATTATCATGAGTCTACCATGGGAACCTGGGCCAAACAATAAAGCCACAGATGGTCTGAATGCTTGATCTTTCCTACGAACCTGAGAGTTTTATTTCCACCTCACAAATTGAAATTCCAGGATTTTCTGACAGTGGCTACCAGGAGGATGGCCTTTTTGGTTGTGACACCCTGGTTGTGGAATGAGCTCCTCAAAGAGGTTGCCTGGCACCTTATTTTTATTTTTGGTGTCAGGTGAAGATATTTTTCCAGCATTTTAACAGTTTTACATTTTAGCTTCTTAACTTTGTTTTTGTGTATTGCATTTTATTCTGTACTGCTGCTATGCTTCTGCGCTGATTCAATTGTGACTACTATTGTGGTTTGTCATTTTAAATTAACTTTGTTTACATATGTCTTTTAAAACTTTTAACTTTAGTTAACTGCCCAGAGAACTTCAGTTATTAGACAGTATAAAAATGGAATAAATAATTGCACAACTGAGGCGGCTTCCCCTCTCAGTCTCCCTCAGAGGAGACTCCTGAGGGTCAGATGGTGAATATAGTGTCCAGGTAAATTCAGGTCTCTCTGAGAGGCAATCTGTTATACTGCTTCATTGTGTACTTGGGTTTAAGTCTCATGTACATGAGAATGGGGCTATATTTTAAGTGCAGTTTCCTGCAGTGTGGATCTCCCAAGGCTGGAGGCTGGCCGCCACAAATAAAGGAAATATTTCCTGCAGCCTAGTTTCCTGTAAGTTTCAGAAGGAGCAATTCTTATTCTCAGAGGCCTTAGTCTATTCACACCACTCATCTAATCTGGGAGCAGGGTTTATTTCATTAGTGATGTCCTGCCCCACAGGCTAATGCAGTTGCCAGTGTGACCCAGTACTCAGTGCTGAACTCAGCTGTAAGTTTTGTCATTAACTGCCCACTCCAATGCAGGTTTATTCAGAACTATGTTCCATCTAGTTCAGGAGTCCACAAACATTTTAATCAGGGCCAGTTCACTGACCCTCAGACTGTCGAGGGACCGGACTATAGTTTGAAAAATTATAATTAAAATAAATTTAAAAATAATTAAAATTAAAATAAATTTAAAAATAATTAAAATTAAAATAAATTTAAAATAATTAAAATTAACATTAATTTTAAAAATAATAAAAAATTAATTAAAAATATTTGCTCCACTTGCTTGGGCTGCAGCAAAGCCCAAAATGATTCCACACCACCTGCCAAAAGGGAAAGCACAACACGAGGGGGAGCCATGAGGGCACACTCGCCTTGGTTGAGGCCTTCCTGGCTCCTCACCACAGCCCCGCTTCTGAGCCGAAGGAAGGTCCCCTCGCCGGTGCTCCCCCAGCTCTGGGAGGGGGAGGGGAAGCGGGAGGCTGGACAGGCAAGCACGGGGCAGCTCCCCCAGCCGGGAGAGGGCCACAAAGAGGGAGGTAAGGGCTTCTTTCTGAGACTGTAGCACACATAATTAAAAACAGATTCAAAAAGTTATATTTTTCTTACCTTCAATCCTTTTTTAATGTCTTTGTCTTTCTCTCTCTTCTGCCCTCTTCTGTTTCTTGCTCCGTATTCCTGCTCTGTATATGCATGCAATAAGGGAGAGGGGGGCAAGAGCCAGTGTACACGCAGTTGAGCTGTTGGAATTTGGCGCGTGCGCCGGCTCTCTGCTCAGTTTCGAAGAACACCTGTGCTGGCTCAGAGCTTTCGGACTCACTTGGAGATTGTTTTCTCTGAGCGAATCCAAAAGCTCTGAGGCGGGCCAGATAAATGAACATGGCCGGCTGGATCCAGCCCATGGGCTGTAGTTTGAGGACCCATGATCTAGTTCAACAAGATATGCTTCCAAGTGTGTACATGACTGCAACCTAAGTTAAGCTGACATTAAAGTATCCTATAAGAAGGAGCAAAATACCATTCTATTTTAGAACCTAGTATTAATAGATCTGGGAAAGCTTGAGAAATAAGCATTATCTGCATAAGGGAAGAAAAACACTTCAGATGTATGCACTTGCCTGTTGTCTAGGATCATCAATGGAGGGCCTCCTACAGGTTCCTCTCCCTAAGGAGGTTAAGGGGGAGGAGGTGAGAGGGAGGGCCTTTTCTGGGGTGGCTCCCCAATTATGGAATGCTTTGCTATCAGAGAGTTGTCAGGCACCTACCTTATTGAGTTTTAGGCACCTGATGAAAACGTTCCTTTTTCAACGCACTTATGGCACTACTTAAACTGTATATACAGTATATCACAGAAGTGAGTACACCCCTCACATTTTGTAAATATTTTATTGTATCTTTTCATGTGACAACCCTGAAGAAATGACACTTTGCTACAATGTAAAGTAGTGAGTGTACAGCTTGTATAACAGTGTAAATTTGCTGTCCCCTCAAAATAACTCAACACACAGCCATTAATGTCTAAACTGCTGGCAACAAAAGTGAGTACACCCCTAAGTGAAACTGTCCAAATTGGGCATTATTCGCCATTTTCCCTCCCCGGTGTCATGTGACTTGTTAGTGTTACAAGGTCTCAGGTGTGAATGGGGAGCAGGTGTGTTAAATTTAGTGTTATTGCTCTCACTCTCTCATACTGGTCACTGGAAGTTCAACATGGCACCTCATGGCAAAGAACTCTCTGAGGATCTGAAAAAAAGAATTGTTGCTCTAGACAGCCTAGGCTATAAGAAGATTGCCAAGACCCTGAAACTGAGCTGCAGCACGGTGGCCAAGACCATACAGCGGTTTAACAGGACAGGTTCCACTTAGAACAGGCCTCGCCATGGTCGACCAAAGAAGTTGAGTGCACATGCTCAGTGTCATATCCAGAGGTTGGCTTTGGGAAATAGACGTATGAGTGCTGCCAGCATTGCTGCAGAGCTTGAAGGGGTGGTGGGTCAGCCTGTCAGCGCTCAGACCATACACCGCACACTGCATCAAATTGGTCTGCAGGGCTGTCGTCCCAAAAGGAAGCCTCTTCTAAAGATGATGCACAAGAAAGCTCGCAAACAGTTTGCTGAAGACAAGCAGACTAAGGACATGGATTAGTGGAACCATGTCCTGTGCTCTGATGAGACCAAGATAAACTTATTTGGTTCAGATGGTGTCAAGCGCGTGTGGCAACAACCAGGTGAGGAGTACAAAGACAAGTGTGTCTTGCCTACAGTCAAGCATGGTGGTGGGAGTGTCATGGTCTGGGGCTGCATGAGTGCTGCCGGGCCTTGGGGAGCTACAGTTCATTGAGGGAACCATGAATGCCAACATGTACTGTGACATACTGAAGAAGAGCATGATCCCCTCCCTTCAGAGACTGGGCCACAGGGCAGTATTCCAACATGATAATGACCCCAAACACACCTCCAAGACAACCACTGCCTTGCTAAAGAAGCTGAGGGTAAAGATGATGGACTGGCCAAGCATGTCTCCAGACCTAAACCCTATCGAGCATCCGTGGGGCATCCTGAAACGGAGGGTGGAGGAGTGCAAGGTCTCTAACATCCACCGGCTCCATGATGTCATAATGGAGGAGTGGAAGAGGACTCCAGTAGCAACCTGTGAAGCTCTGGTGAACTCCATGCCCAAGAGGGTTAAGGCAGTGCTGGAAAATAATGGTGGTCACACAAAATATTGACACTTTGGACCCAATTTGGACAGTTTCACTTAGGGGTATACTCACTTTTGTTGCCAGCGGTTTAGACATTAATGGCTGTGTGTTATTTTGAGGGGACAGCATTACAGTTATACAAGCTGTATACGCACTACTTTACATTGTAGTGAAGTGTCATTTCTTCAGGGTTGTCACATGAAAAGATATAATAAAATATTTACAAAATGTGAGGGGTGTACTCACTTCTGTGATATACTGTATGACAGCACTGGTTTTAATCTTAACTTATTTATAAATAGTGTTTTGTTTTGCCTATGTGTTGCAATATTTAATTGTATTATTTTATTAATGTTATTATTGATATTTTATTGCAATGGTGCTACCCCTCTGAAAGCTGACATTCTTCTATTGCTCACTCTGGAATAGGTATGGGGGGTTAATTTTCACAGCAAAAATGGCCAACTCAGAAGTGTTAAGAATTCATTTTCCTTCCGTTCTAATTGTACGCATGTGGCATGTAAATTTGTCATTAAAGCTGCAATTATATGCACACTTACCTAGATGTAAGTTGCACTGCATAAAGTGGGACTCAGAAACTAAACAGAAAAAGTTGCAAAGGTCTGTTTGTATGCAAATAGTCCTCATTTCTTGTTGTGAGAAATCACATTTCAAAGTGATAATAACAAAAAATTGTTCAAGTTTAACTTTATTTCAAAACAAAATTCAGAGGCTATGTGGATGAAAAACAGCAGCATGACTGGATCATGAATTCAGCAACATTTAGAGTTTGAATTCTCATTGTTCTAATTGTTTGCATTTATTCTAGCTGGCTGTTAACTGAAGTCCATCCGCAGCAAAGGCAAAATTGAATAAATTCTGTAATACAAAAGAAAACAAATCTAGTGAAGCTTCAAACCAAAATGTTATGACTTTTGGTGCCAATTAAAGCTTTATAATATCCATATCCACTCAAACTATACTATGCACCTGCACAATATTTGAAATTAAGTAAGGTAGCCTTTGTTTTTTATGGGCCTCTTGGTTTTGACTTGCCAACTGGCAAGCATTACTTCTTTATTTAGTTTTTTCTTCTTTCAGACATTGTATACTATTTCAGTATAATTTGTTATGTTTATTCCAGTTTGCTTAATGCTTTTCGAAGTCCTGAGTCTCTAAAATTCAACATAAGAGAAAAGGAGAAAAATGGAGTTGGGATAAACAGGAAGCCATATGGCATATGTAATAGTTACAGTTACATGTGCTTAGGTTTCGTTACAGTTAAGCAAAGGCATGACATGGGGAGTTGTAGCAAAGGCTTTAATGAAAAGTTGAGTTCAGACAAGGGATCTGAAGTGGGCAAATTTTATACAGATGTTACAGATGGCAATTTCAAGCAAACAGCAAGGGGGAAAGAATAGAGCCCTTTTGACAGGAGAAGAGGACAATCATATGGTGGTACTGAAAGAGCAAAGAGGATGAAAAGATGGGGGAGAGGGCTTTGAAGGTAAGGAAAAAGGCCTTATGCAGGATCTGAAAGCAGTCAGGAAACCATTGTAGGGTGTTAAGGAGCAGCAACAAGTGAAAACATTAGAAAGCAAAGTGAAAGCTGCTCTGAAAGCACTTGTAAATAGAAAAGCACCTGGAGTAGACAGGATACTAATAGAACTATTCCAAGCTGCATAAAATTAATCAGTTCAAATCCTAACAAGAACATGCACATGAATATGGAAAACAAAACAATGGTTCACAGACTGGAAACTTTCAATATATGTTCCAATCCCTAAGAAAGGAGATGCAAAAGAGTGCAGCAACCATAAGTCCATTGCACTAATTTTCCACACTAGCAAAGTGATGCTCAAAGTGTTGCAAGAAAGAATACTATTAATTCAGTGAGAAATACCTGACATTCAAGGAAGAGGCACTTAAGATCGTATTGTAAATCTGCACTGGCTACTGGAACACACCAAAGATTTCCAGAAAAAGTCTGTGCTTTATAGGCTACAGCAAAGCCTTTGACTATGTGGACTGTGTGAGAAGCTATGGACGGTCCTGAAAGAAATGGGAGTGCTTAAGCACTTCATTGTCCTAATTCATCATAACCTTTACCATGGACAAGAAACTACTGTTAGGACAGAATATGGAGAAATGGAATGGTTTCCCATAAGCAAAGGTGACAGACATGGGTGTATTTTATTTTCCTAGCTATTCAACCTGTACACAGAATGTATCTTCAACTGTATTAGAATCAGAGGAAGGAGTGAAAATTGGTGGAAGGCACATCAATAATTTAAGATGTACCGATGATATGATACTACTGGCAGAATGATGATTTGAAACAACTCCTGATGAAAATGAAAGAAGAAAGTACAAAAGCAGGACAGCAGCTGAACATTATGAAAGCAAAAAATCATGACCACAGAAGAATTACAGAATTTTACTGTTAACAATGAAGAAATTAAACTTGTGAACAATTTTGCATCCCTTAGCTCCGGCATCAATTCAAAGGGTAAGAAATTCAGAAAAGACTGACTTGGAAGAGCAGCACTGAAGGAACTAGAAAATATCATCATGTATAGGGATGTTTTACTGGAGACAAAGTCCAAGATCATCCATACTATTATATTCCCAGTCACTGTATGTGGGTATGAAAGCTGGGCAGTGAAGAAAGCTGACAGGAGAAAACTGATACATTGAAACACAGTGCTGGAAGAGAGCCTTGTGAATACCCTGGACCATCAGAAAAATATACAAGTGTGTCCTAGATCAAATCAAGCCAGAGCTTTCCCTAGAAGTTAAAACTGAGGCTGTCATACTTCAGAAAAAAATGAGGCTGTCAAATTTAGGACACATCATGAGAAGGCAAGACTCACTGGAGAAGTCAATCATGCTTGGCAAGTTGAAAGGAGAAGCATTAAAAGACCAAATATTATTTTTATTTATTAGATTTATATCCTGTCTTTTTCTAAGAACTCAAGCTTACATCATTCTCCTCCTACTACTCTTAATCTTATTCCCACAACAATAAACCCGTCTGTGACAGGCCCAAAGTCACCCAGTTGGCTCCATGGCTGAGCAGCTACCAGAGCACAGATCACCTGAGTCCCAAACCCATGCTTTTAACCACTACACCACACTGGCTCTCAGGGAGAATAGATTGAATCCATAAAGGAAGCCACAGCCTTGAACTTGGAAGAGTTGAGCAGGGCTGTCATGGGCAGGACATTTTGGAGAACTTTCACTCATAGGGTCACCACAAATTGAAATAGACTTGATGGTACAGAACAAACAACAACATGTAATCAGAACAATCTGGCAGCAGTACACAAAGGAATCAAGGAGAGAGAGCAGGATTATAGTGGTGCAAGATGACTGAAACATGAACAAGAATTCTTGCTAAGGTGACACACAGAAAAGACAGTCTTTTTGTAAAGGAAGAAGTGATATGACTTGACTGCAGGCTGAATATGAGGAACAAAGGAGAGAGCACACTCAGGCTATATGACTGGTAACCAGGGCAGTAAGATGCCAGAGAACCTTCACTTGGACTGTAGACATTACGCTATTACAAATTTTCAAAAATGTCTGATATTTTGTTATTGTCAACTTTCACCACCACCCATAACAACATTAACTGGTTCATGTACCAAATTTCACTTTTCATTCTTCTTAAACGGTATTTTTATAAATGCCACATGCAACTGGACCAGCAAATCTAAGCACTAGAAACATGTGCAGTAGGTATGGGAAAAAGGGATAGAGGATCTCATTTTTGGGGAGATCATGTAAAGGTATGCGTTGCACTCTCTGTTTTAACAACTAGCTGTAATGTGCAAAGCTCTCAAATGAAACCAAGATGCCTAAGGTTACATACCATCAACATTTAATTATATCAAACCAGTCTTAATGCGGATAGGTATGAATGGTGGTATATAAGTTAAACAATAATACTTTTTACCATTTCCCCCTGCTATTTCTCATTCCAGTCCAAATACCCTCTCTGTAGACTCTCAAGAGCAGTAAGAAATAGATGCATTTGTATATCCAGTCTATGGAGACTTAAATGCAGAACTGATTGATCAACCTACAGTTAACAAGGCTATCATAACACAAGAGAGCAAATGGGTTCCATGTTTAGCATTGTTACCTTTCAGCACAAAATGTTGACATTAATTTTTCTGAAAAAATTCAGGACAGGCCACCACTGTTGCTTAGAGAAGGCATCTAAAAAGAATTGATCAAAGTAATGATGCTTCTCTCAAGTGCCTTTGCGAGTTTACTTCAGAAGATTCTTGCCTCTCTTGACTATCTTTATTTGAATAATCCAAGGCAGTTCCATCAGCTACAAAGAAAGAGATAACATGAGTAACCTAAAGTAGGATCTTATGTAGCCTTGACCCTTATGTGTTGGCCTGGGCCTTCCTCCATGAGGAACAGGGAGTACTTCTGCTTTCCATCTCCTAATCAACCTATTGTTCAATGCAATCCTGACTGACTATTCATTGCTGCAGTATCTTTTGCTTATTCCTACAAAGGAGAGCAGCTTTCCAGGAGAGTTATATGTCCTTGTACTCCCTACATAGCCAAAGATAAATTATTTCTAACCTTCTAGGTTTGGGGTTAATTATGTCATGAATGTCCAGCCTAATACATCAAAAGCTAAGGCCTGTGAAATAATACAATCAGTGACGGGGTAAGTATAGCAAAGAATTTTTAGAATGCCATATTTGATCAATATACCATGTTTGATGTGTATTTTGCTATAAATATGGAATCACAGTAGTCTTCACAAGTAGTCTTGTTGACCTCAAGTCTTCCCTGTACCGCCTGGGCTAACAGTCTCTTCTACAGATCTGTAGCCTTTCATATATGTATATGTGCATCCTTCCCTGCACATGTGGGTACATTTACACACAAATTCCACCTGCAATATGCAGTTGACCAGAAGTATTTACATTATGGTCCTGTACTGTAAGCATCAGGTAAGCATAGACTTGTAAAGATGCCTCATGTGGGCAGGATATGATGGGGAATCAACAAGAAATGTTCCTCTTTCTCTCAACATTGCTACTAACAACTTTCAGTAGATAATTTGCTACAAAAATAAATTATTATAATGTGGAGGTGAGAATAAATGGCCTATTTCAAGTTCAGTAGAGTAAATTAAAAAACTTTTCCACATTGAAAGAACAATTGAAGTAAAATGTTCTCCTCATTTTTCAGTCATCTTACAAGAAATAAAATCTAGACAAATATCTGAACATAAAAATACTCCAAAAACACATGAAGATTTTGCAGTTGGTGATAATTAAGTACTCTCACATTACTTTCCCCCATTTACTAAGGAAGTGCTTGTACTCACCAGGCAAGGAACTGTTTTCTTTCAGTACATTGTTTTTCTGCTTCTTCTAAAATAAAATTAAAGGGGAGATGTAATGTTTATCCTCCAGCCACAGAAAACCATAATTATCCTTTTTCCATAAGGAGAAAGCCCTTCAAGATTGTAGAGCTGATCCTAACAGAAGGAGCAAGCAGTGCCTGTTTCCTCACTACTTAAATCAGTTTTATCCAATGGTTGTGGAGCAGTGAATTTAACAACTATTAGTGGTAATCTGTGTGTCAAAGCAGATAGAGAACATTCATACCTCCACAGAAGTCTTCCACTGTAAATAGATCTCCTTTGATGTTGCCCAGTCAAGGGGAACTACATAATCGTCTGGTAGTAAAGCATCTATAAAACAGGATTTTGCACAAAGTGGTTATCTGACTGACTCACTGTAAAAAAACACATGATTCTGACAGAATTCTATACTTTAACATTAGTACGCATAACAATAATGCAATTTCAGTTAGCAGTAACTTAATATGCTAGTTACATCACTGTGAGCACCAGAATTGGTGTCAACCCTGAACATGTAATCTAAAATACAATCTAAAACACAGATCTGCCCACATAGCTATAAATGGCTCTGGCATGTTGCGTCACCTTTGCTAAGCTGGAAAGGAGTGGTCAAGAAGTGGGATGGATGACTACATGTGGAAGCAGAGCAAGGGGGTTGGCCTTGACGGCCCCTTCCAACTCTAATTCTATTCTGTATTCTAGGTTCACACATGCTTATGTCACTTTGCTCTCTCATGCTCTGGTAACTCATACTTGGTGAATGGCTGCCAAATATGTACATCTAACCTGATTAAAAATATTGTTTCAGAGGTTATATTAAGAAATCTGAATATATGGTGGTAGAATGCTAGTAGTTCATTCACAGATGCAGTTATCACTTGATGTCAAGAATTAATAGAGGAACATTCCCATGTGAAGAATAGAAACTTATATCTGCATAGATGGAACTATACTGTATGGTATAATACAGTATAGAAAATGGGTAGGTGTTATGGTATAGTTGCTCTCCATACACCATCTATATGGACAACATCTGCTACTGCCTATGAACATATGGATTGTCTAGACTGATGCACCTTTAGTTCAGTAAGTAGCTGCTCTCCAAGATGCAGAGGTTGGAGGTCCTGCCACGTGAGATACTTTAGGATATAGATGCGAGGCACTCCACCTGGGATCTTCTGCATTCAATGCCCAAGTTACAGTTCTTTAATGTTTTTATTGCAACAGATCACTGACATATTACATTCACTGCCTACAAAATCATAGAGGATAAGGCCTGTCACCAGCTAGTAGCCATGATAACTAGATGGAATGTCTGTGTTCAAAAGCAATAAACTTCCAGATACCAGGGAAAAGCCATTTCTGAGATTGACTATGACATTTGGGTGACTACTGCACTAGATGGACTTTTGGTCTGTTCTATCAAGCAGCTCTTATAATATGGATGGGACAAAGGGAGTTGTTGGTATTCACGGATAGTTTACTACGTATATGCAATGAACCTTACTTTCAGTGGTGGTGGTGGCGGCAGTGGAACAAGCATGCCCCCTTGCCATTCACTGTAAGCAAAGCCATCACAGTTGAGCATTAAACTGCACAACAGGTAGCTTAGCATTTCAAATCTCCCATTGCTTCCCTCACCCCAAGAAGTTTGAATTGGTGCCACCTGATGAAAATCCTAGCTCTCTGGAGAGTAGCAGGAATTCAGTTCCTGCTCTGAAATACTGGTGCTGCTAGGGTTAGGTTGAGTTGTACTCATCAAGCAGGGCAAAGTGGGGGTGATCTGGAGTGGTAGCTACAGTGGCAGCACCAGATGGGCTGGGCTCAGGGCACATCGCCCGGTGCCACCATGTCATTCACAACTTGCACCCTCCTATCCACCACGAGCAACTTACCCTATTCTAGTGGTGATACAAGCAAAAATGGGCAGCTTGTGGCCCACAACTCCTATAATCCCTCACCACTGGCTACATTGCTTAAAGGTGATGGGAGTTGCATGTAAAAACATCGGGAAGAGCATATGTCGCTCACTCCCTTTTAAAGTTCAAACCAATCCATTATAAGCAGCCAAAGTACATTTGCCAAACTTCACTCTGCATTTGTGGGGATTAAAAAGCTATTGCCTGCTGTGACTGTTTTCCAGAACCAGGTGTACTTTGCTACTTAAACAGAGGGAGGAGGAGAAGTGACGGGCAGTGGTGGCAGGTATGCATGCAGAGAAAAGTAACAGAGGGTTCACTTGTCCATCTTGGGTAGTAGAATGGCTTGGGCCAATCCTGATGATTTCCATGCTATTAGCATAAGGCACAGTAATGGGTAGTGCTTAAATGTTTCTGTGTGTGCCACACCCACCCACCCTGAACTACCATGGGAGCAAGTTACTAAAAACAGTAACTGGATTTACTGGGTGCTACATTTCTTGTGCTAGATTGGGCTGTAGGCAGTGGTAAAGGCTTCCAGTTTAAAGAGGGTGGGGCTAACTGGATCCTCTATTGTGTTGAAGGTTAAAACATAATTTAGCAACCATAAGGTAGAGAGGTGGCCCAGCCCTCCCAGGTGACTGTCTCCCCAGCTAGCTAGTTCCGATTTGGAACAGGAGGGGATGTGCAGGAATTAACATAGGCCTCTGAATTGTCAAGGTCACCATACCACATTACTCAGCCAGGATATGAGAACCAAGCTCCCTTGGAACAGGAGGGAGACCTTATAGAACAAGGAGGGATAGAGATCAAGGGAGAGTTCTTGGACCCTACCAAGAGGAATCAGGCCAAGTGAGAAGGCCACTTAACCACTCCCGCCACCTAGCCCTCAAGCAGCACAACCCACCCCTAGAGTGAAGGGCAGTCTTTTCCAAAAAGGAGCAAAGGAGCGGAATGTTCTTGTTTGGATTCAGCTCTTCACATAGGGAGACAGTACTTCCACATAACAAAGGGACTGTAACCTTTATGCTGTCTGTACACTTGTAGAGAGTAATACATGTTTTGTCTGCTAGAGAGAGAAAAGTGGCAGGGAGAGACCTGCTTCTGACGTTTAAGGTGGCTTGAGTATATGTGAAGTGAGGGGCACAGGAAAACTATAATTGCATTCAGTTAAGAAGCCAAATGCAGAGAGCTGATCTGCCATAATAAATTAGTATGTTTTTAGACTTCTTGATATTTGATATATAAATCGAACACAGAAGAACACAGTGCAATGCAATTTCGCTTGCTGTGATATTTCCATCTCTGCGATTATACATTTTGCAACCATAATGCAAAATTAGATAATATAATTAGAGTCATACATTAAACAATCAGACTTTGTGCTTTCCTTGACCTCCCTGACAATTTAATTAAACAAATGTATTTAATGTTATTAATAAAGTTATATGTTGAGGCCTCATCAGTTTTAAGCTACAATACAATAGTACACTAGCATTTTAGTTCTATTTAAAAACAAAATATTAGAAGAACACAGAAGATAAAGAAGTCCAAAGTTCATCAGCAAGCTTTCATGCTGTTTGGAGTCTATATCTGAAAAAATATATCCTGCCTTAATTATTATTCTAAATTAGCTAAATATGCTTTACATTGGATATGATACTAACAAAGACCCAAAACATGCAGTAAGTTTCTGCCAGGCTATTGTACTAAATATTTTTCTTTTCTTTTTCTTTAAAAAAGTAGCAATTACCCAATGGAATTCCTGGGGAACCAAAAAGTTCTACTAGCTGAACTGCAAATCCTTGTGATAAAGGAAGCCCCAAAAAATTGGGTTTAGTATTTAAATGAGCTTTATCTTCTTTGATTTGAGAATACTTTGTATTTTCAGTTTCATTAACTTGCTGTATATTTTCTAAGTTTTCAGCAGCAGGGTCTGTAAGGTATTCAGTGATTGTTTTAACTGAACACAAAATATCTGGCTGAGTAGTTGAAGCATCTGGAGGTATTTTCATTCTTTCTTTCTCTGTGTTAACTAACAAAGTTTGATCAAAAGCAACGATTTGTTCTTCAGTAGGTATGGAAGCTTTACACGAAGCAGAAGTACATATCTGGATAGGAACAGTGGCCGCTTCTGCTGAAAAGTCCATCAATTGACATTGTTCTGTAGGTTGGTTGGAACAGTTATAGCAGAGAAGTTCTACATCTAGATGAGAAGATGTTACTACTACATCATGACTAGAAAGCGATGGACACTCAAAGCAACCAAGGCTTTGCTTATTCTCTTTTCCAGTTTCTTCATTTGAAATGTCTTCTTGCTCTGTCAATACATGTACATATTTTAAGACTGCCTCATCCTTTCTAGCAGGAATCTGCCTGGGTATATCGAAGTTTGGGGCCAGCTTGAATATTCTTTTGCACCTTCTCTGTTTTCTTGCTGATGATAATGATCTTGCTTCATTTGGTATACTGACTTTAGTTTCAGATTCAGGGGGTAATTCATTTGTTTCAATGCATGGTACATTATAGATGCTCTCAGTCAGTGGTGATGGCAAAGCACAATCAGTTAGACCATCCTTTTCACATAACATTTCTGCATCTCCTCTCCTGAATTCTTTATTAGATTTATCATCAGTTAATTCTGCAGTTTTTCCAGAGATGACCTGCTTAGGCCTTCTAATCTTCTTTGGCCTTTGCTCATAAATGATATTAAATGTATCTTCCTGCCACATCAAATAGGATTCACTTTTAGCTGAGTCAGCAGGGGGCTGATTGTCAGTAGAATCAAAAGAAAAGAATGCCCAAGTATTTTTCTCATTTTTTGATGTCTCATGTTGATGAGGAATGGTTGCTTCCTCATGACTCAGCAATTTCCTTTCCAAGCCAAGTTCAGGCATGACATTAGGAGATGTATCTTTGTTTTCCATATTACTCAGGCAAGCACCATTTTCTTTTCCACTGTGGTCCATTTTTAGAGATGTTTCACTGTTACAGTCCAAAATGTTGCTCTTGCTCTCTACAAATATGTCTGGCAAATGATCATTGTATTTTTGCTCATGAATGTTTTCATTGGGAACAGATGGCAAGCTGATCAGAGGCTGACTGTTGATTCTTACAAGAGCATCTGTCTTGACTGAATTACCTAAAGTTATTGGATCCACCATACTGGAATCAAGAAACCCTTTTTGCAATTCAGGGGGTTTTAAATCATTATCAATAGCAGAGCCATCCTCACCAACATCTTTAGGCACATTCAGATGCCCAGTCACAACTGATTTTTCACTGTCTTCTGATTCGTCTTGTTCACTCTGTGATGTGTCTTCATCACTTGGAGTTAACTGTCCATTTGACTTTTTTTCCATTGCTTTAATAGTGGCACCTTTCATTTTTCTGTTTCTTTTTCGTTTCCTCTTCTGTTTCATCTTGTGTAATCTATGCTTCTTCTTTACCACTGATTCCCTAAACAGAATAAAGAACTAAATATGAACACATTATTAAGAATCTTAATAAAGCATAAATTACAAAGTTAACAGGATAGTGGTTTATAATCTATTTACTTTTGAATATTATTATATTGCATTTATATCTTATTTATCCCCTTTCTTCCTCTTGCAAGGAACCCAAAGCCACTTAGTCCCTCTTCACTCTATTTTATCTGCACAGTAACCTGTAAGGTTAGCTAGGCTATGAGTCCATGACTGGCCCAAAGTCACCAAGTGAGCTTTATGGTAAAGCAGGGACTTTAACTCATCTCTCCCAGATCCCCAATCCAGCACTTGAACCTTTATGCTACACTGGATCTCTTTAATGGAATAGTCCATTAAAGATTATAGGAGCCAACCATGGACATGCTGAGTAAATTCTTATCATAGCTCTACATTTTAAAATATGTAGCAGTTCCATTTTTTAAAGAAAAAATTCTTGCATTTAAAGCCCAATACATAAATATCTAAAGTGTAGTATACTGACAACTAAGTGAGCAAGTATAGAAAAGCAATTTGTGCTGGCATGGCAAGACAAAGGTATGTTAATAGCATTCTAAGAAGTCACAACTGAACATAAAAATAAAAGGTGTTCCTAATGAAAAAATAAAGTGCATTCTTCCGGGACAGAAGTATGTATTTAAGCTCTTTGAAACATAAAAGGCAGCTGGACTTATGGCATTCAATACTTTTTAAGCTAGCTATTGGAAAGCACAAGAGGCAAGGCCTCTTGTCATAGCTTTGATGGAACTCCCATAAGTTCTTCATTCTTGGATCACATATACATGGGCATTAAATATATAACTGTTCTTATCTGCTTTAAATGAAACAATGATACTGATCTTTATTCTAAGATTTATTTGTAACTATCACTGCTATTTTATTTACAATGTAATCCTGTAAAAGTGCATTCAGAAGTAAACTCCATGGAGTTCAGTAGGGCTTACTCTTGGGCAAGCCATGCTTAGAATTTATTTATTTATTTTATAACTTCTGTACCCTGTCCAATACATAAAAGAATTGCAGCTTTTATATCATACTGAGTTGCCTTAGATGGCTTGGTAGTCTAGAGTGAAATTCTAATGCTAATTCTAATTCATTACTTCTATTTGTAGTTGTAATTGTGTGATTAGTATTTTGTGTGAATCACTTTTTTTCTCCTGAAAGGCAGTGTAATAAAATATAGAGAAAAACTCAAGTTTACATCAGATTAATGGTACTAGTGGACAACTATTTTTCTCTATTACTAAGCGTTATATAGAATATATGGGGAAGAAACATTGATCCTGTTAAAGCATCTCAAGTTCACTCCTAGATGTTTCCAGTTAAAAAAGGAACAGATAGCAGGTAATGTGAAATGCTGAACTCTGTCAATATTGAGCAAGCTCGGGAAAATATCCTGACCTACAAAATAAGAGGTCACTTCCTTTGATTTGCCAGATTTGTGACAAAGGCTGCAATCCTAAGTATACTTCTCAATTGAACTCAATAGGTCTTCTTAGTAAACATGCATAGGATTACCTATTTAATAACATTTTTATGTGGACTATGGCCTTATTAATAGGAATGGATGAGAAATTTGCAGTCCTAATTTTCATATGAACCCTGTTTACATGGGTTTATACACAAATTGGAACACCCAGATGCACTGAACTGTGCACTTTTCAGAACTTTGAACAACTCACAAAACTAAAAAAATATCCATTGGCATCCTGGATAAGACTGATGGAAGTGCATAGCATTTGTTGAGCACCAGGTTTGGGAAGTCTGCATAAAGAAGAATGCATAGAACTTATTAAGGTAATCACTTGCAAAGAAAAAATATCCACTCATGAGGAAAGGTAGGTGCAAAACTGCACAAAAAGTAGAAGAATATTCATGTAGGTTTTGGGGGTCAAATTTGCACATAGATGTGTATAAGCTGAAACAAACCTATGGGTTGGAAAATAAGGAACATGGCAAAACCAAATCTGATACATTATCTCATCCATATCCTTAACAATTGTTAAAACAGAGCCATAACCATTTCTCCCAGCTTTTCATTCTGTGTACTTGAAGGAAAATTCAAATGTATAACAACAATTTTGAAAATGAAAGAGGTGTTAGCTTGGATTAGTTCACACAGAGCAGTTTTCTGTTGGCTATGAACTATCTTCCCTGGGCCCATCATATCAAGGACTTTTTAATATTGCTATAATTTCACATTACCTTATTTATCTCCCAGTTATTTCTGACTATTCTATGAATGAAGAATGACATACATACATATATATATTTGCCAAGTTAGTACAAAAGAAAAATCCAAAATTCAGAGAGTCAGGCAATACACCTTTATTGAGGGGGGGAAGCATGCACAAAATACTCAAGAACTCTTCATCAGACAAGAAGTTACAAAAAATTTCATGTGGGGAGTGGGTAGAAGGAAGAAAGTCTGATTTGATCTTGCTTCAATGAAGTCTGCATGATAAAAGTCTTAAGATGAAGAGGCAGATAGAAATGAACTGGTTTCAGGTTATACCTAGTAGTTAGGACAAACATGACTTGATTCTCCCATTTTGAAAAATCAAAAATGCAAAACTTAATTCAATTTTGTTTCCAACCCCAGGCAAAACATGCCTACATTAAATGTCCAGCTTTACTTATATAATCCTATCTTTCTCTTTATTTTGTTCTCTGGTGACCAAAGATGGGGAAAAAAATAAATCCACTCAAACAAAACTCACATTGTACCAGACAAAGTGAAGAGAGGATTAACCTACACTAAAGACATCCTGTATTTAATTTGCAGTTTAAAATTTGAACAATTTTTAATTGAATAAAACCCATTAAATGCAATTGTAATTACTTCTGATTGAATATGCATAGGGTTGTTAATCGAGGCAAAGAGTATTATTTACAATCAGCACCCATATTGGATCTTTGCCTTTCTTGGCTTATAAAATCTAGTGGGGAGGAAACAGTGGTGAGGCCAGTGGGGAGAATGGTATCCTGTCACCTGAAACAGTGGTGAGGCCACTTCCGAATTCTCTCTCAGCCTGGAAGATTTTTAGGCTGGTGGCAAACATCCCTTCCTGGGCAAGGTTCTTGAGTGGGTGGTAGCCAATGTGCTGCAGGAACTCTGAATGAGACTAATCATCTGGATCCATTTCAGTCAGGGTTCAAGCTGGAGAACAGATGTGGAGTATTTTGCTATCAGTATGCTGATGACACACAACACTATTTCTTCTTTTCATTTTATGCAGGTGAGGCTTGGGATGTGCTAAATGGTGCTAGGTTGCACAAACTGACTGCCAGACTGAAGTTGAATCCAGGTAAGACTGAGAAGGTGTTAGTGGATGGCTCCTCTGGCCAGCAGGAGCCATCCACTAACTTTCCTCTGACTGTTCTGAAAGGGGCTGCTCTTCTGCTGAAAAAGCAGGTTTGTAGGTTGGGGAATCCTCCCCGAGTCATCTTTGATGCTTCAGGCTTGGAGTGTTTTCCACTCACATTAGCTGGTGGCCCATATACACCCCTATTTGTACAATGATAGCTGGGTTTCAGAAATCTACTCTGGTGATCTTGACACTGGACACTTGACACTCCATATGGGCTGCCCTTGACTGTACAGAAGCTGCAGTTTGTGCAAAATGTAGCAGCTAAATTAGTAGCAGGGACCAGAAAATCTGAACACACAAGAACAATTCTGACCTGCTAGCATTGTCTACTCATGTTTCTGAACCCAATTCAAGGTGCTGATTTTAACCTATAAAGCCCTACATGGCGTAGGACTGCAATACTGGATAGAACACCTCTCCAAGTAATCTACCGGGACACAATGACCAAGAAATGGGGCCTGCCTCTGACTGCCACTTCCATGAAGGGCTCAGTTAGTGACAACTAAGTGGCAATCCATCTTAGAGGTGGCCCACGATTACAGAACAAGCTCCCCAACTTAGGCCCACCTGGCACCAACTTTATTATCCTTTCAGTGCCAGATTAAGACTGTCTTCTTTGAAAGCATTTTATAAGCCCAAATAAAATATTGGGGTGCTATGTCTTCTGTGTAACAAATCTTATGCCATAATCTGTGCTAGTTATTGTACTTGTTTCAATTCTAAAGCTGGCTTCTAAATTTTCTTGTATACTTTTTATTATGTTTTACTATTATACACTTTCTAATTCTATTACATTTTTGTGCTGTTGCAAATTCCCCAGAGAACTTAAGCTATAGAAATAAAAACTTCCCCTGCTTTCATATCTGATTGTGTGTATCATGTTGAAATCTTCAAAATAAACTTTCTTGTCTCCTTGTCAATTGTCCAAAGAGATGGAATATCTGGTCCAAGCACTGTGAAGAAGCGACAAGGTTCAGATTTCCTGAGGTTACAATGAATAATTGTAAGAACAGTGATGATATAATTTGATTGGATACTGATGCCACATACTCAAGACTTGTCTTCTGCACTAATTTGGATTCATCAAGTTCCATACATGCAGTAACTTGCCTATTTCATCTTACAAGTACATACGTAAGAAGAATGACAAATATTGGAACTGCTCAGACAGCTGTAGATGGTATAGAAATAAAATAACAAATAAACAATACCAGAGTGATTCCACTTTCTTAGAGCTAGTAAGAACCAAGTGCTCAGAAGTGTTTGAGTTCTTAAAAAAAACCTGACCAGTCACCAGGTGCATGATCCAGCAAGTTAAGCATCTTAAACTCCCAATAACAATAATTCAAATAAAAAATCCTGCTTGCTTTACTCTGGCAGGATTGCACCTCAACTGCATTGTCCAATTAATGTTATTACTGACTGCTGAATGCTTAAAATATGTCAAGATACAGTTAATCTAATCTGCAGTATAGTGATACAGAGACTATATCTCCACATTTCTTAGAGGCATTTGGTCAGCTGGCACTGCGTTCCATGCCTCAGAAACACTGGGGAAATTTCACAACCTGTCACAGCTTATGAAGGCTTTTCCTTATTTCCC